ACTCCAGCGCCCCTAAAACTAGAACAGTAGACTTACTCATTCACAATTCCGTAGACTTACTCATTCACTCAGTATTCAATATCCATTCATGCATGCCCACTATCTGCCAGGCACACCACACCTGGGGCACAGAATTTCAGTAATAAATTAGACTGGTTAGGGCCTCCTGGTGGCGCAAGGGGTTGAGCACCGCACTATGAAGCAATCCGCAGCCTCTGCAGCATGAGTTTGGTCCCCACCGGCCAGACAGCTGACCCACATGGCGCAGCAGACCTCTCCTGTCTCACCTGCTGTTCCCCTCAGCAGTGTATTTCGGTCTGTCTGCCTGTTCTATTCCCCACTCTGTCTCTGGTGAATCCTCTCACTGCCCCCCACCCCTGCATCTCTGGCCTGTACCCCAGCTCTTGTATACAAAAATAAATAAATCTTTAAAAAAAAAAAAAGAGGGCCTCCCCTGGTGGTGCAGCTGTTGAGCACTGGGCTGTGAAACTGCCCACAGCCTCTGCAGCGGTGAAACTGCCCACAGCCTCTGCAGCGCCGGTTTGATCCACAGCCACCCGCAAGGGTCCCACATGGCGCGCAGACCTCTCCTGCTGCACCCGCTGCTCCCCTCAGCAGTGTACTTCATCAGCCTGCCTGCTCTGCTCTCCCCTCTGTCTCTGGTGAATTCTCTCACCCTCCCCCACTTCTGACTGTACCCAGTGCTTGTATAAATAAATAAATAAATCTTTTTTAAAAAAAAAAGAAAAGAAAAATAAATAAATTAGACTGGTGAAGCAGAGGAGACAAGACTAGAGTTTGGGCTTCATTCTGTCAGCCACAGGGCGGACAGCAGGTTTCTGGGAAGGCAGAGGCCCTCCGCTGGGGGCTGCACCCTCCCTCCCTGGGCAGGGAGAGTCCTTGTTCTCTTTCCAGGTAGCATTCTGCCCCAGGCAGCAATTTCTAAGAAGCTAACCTCTACAGACCTCTACCTTGTGCCAGCATTTGTTCCCTCAGACCCACAGTATCTGGAACTCTTGAGGAACAAGGAAGTGGCTTCCTCGTGGCAGAGAGAATACCTGCTCTGCCCAAGGGGCCTGCAGGACCCCTACATTGTGAGCTCAGTAAGGGCAGGGGCTGCGGCTCTCCAGTTTACCCTGGATCCTCACGGCGTCCAGCTCAGCGCCTGGGGCAGGAGATGCTCCAATTGTGGATGAATTATTAAGAAAGCAAGAGAGTGTAAATAAACCTTTTATTAACCTTTCCTGTGTGCCTGCAGTAGAGTATTGATAAGTCCTTTTAAGCGCCCGGGTGAGGACCCACAGTCAGACAACCCGTTGTCTATCGGGGCTGCCCTATAACAAGATGAGGAAACTTCTCTGCAGTATTTGAAGGCACTTGATGACCTCAGTGAGGAGGGGTGGAGATTGATAGGTCCTCTTCTACTGACTCCGGCTCTCAAAGGGCCTTGGCTCATTCCTGTGTGTGCTGGGACAACTGCCTCGGGGAGATGCCCCAGGAGGAAGGGCGCATCATGTGCTCGGCTTTATGTGCTGTCTGCTGGTGAAATGCAGGAAGTAGAGGGCCTCCTCCATGTGGGAGGAAGGAGACTCAGGAGGGGTAAGGCGCTTGCTCCAGGTCTCTACTTCGCAAGTGTTAAGTTTGGGATTGAGAACCAGGCCTCTTTCTGAAGATACTGCTTCTGAATACACCACATCCGGAGGGCAGGGTTTGGAGGGCGTGGAGAGGAGGGTCGGCTAAGAGTGGATGATTTCATGGCAGGCAGAGAGGGAGAGAGAGCCCCACCACTACTCAGCAAAAGAGAAAATTCCAGTTTTAGGTCCTGAGGGCAGGGATGGTGGGGGCGGTCAGCACCCACAGCCTCAGTTCCTGAAGGATAAAGGAAGGCTCAGCTTCTTTGGCCTCTACCTCTGGTATCTCCCCCACTGTCCCCCGCACCCAGTGCTCCCCAGTGTCAGCAGCGCATCCCCTGGCGGAGGCCTCCAGATGGCAGGGAGGGCCGAGGGAACAGCTGAAGATGCTGAGCAGGCCTCCCTCCGCCTCTCCCTATGGTCCCACGGATCATCCGGTGCTGCGGCCCATCTCATTGGCTCTCTGCTGGTTACTCATCTCTCCTCTTCTCCATCTTCCCAGTCTGCCGTTACCATGGAAACCTGGAACAAAGACATCACCATAGGGCAAGGGCTGGGGAGATGCTGCTCTTGGCAGATACTGGTCCTGCTGCCTGCCAGATGTTATATCCACATCTGGATCTGCCAAGGACAAGAAAAGGGACAGGACTTACATTCCCTTCCCTTGATCCTTTTCCTCAGACGTAGCAAGTGTAACAGGACCTGGAGGATGCAGGTGATCAGAGGGAGAAAGATGAAAGCCAGATGGAAAGGAGAGAAGCAGCTTAGTGGTCAACCTCAGTGACCCAGCTCTGAACATGGTGGGGAGCCGGGGCGGGGGGGGCGGGGGGGAGGTAGTGCATAGTGGTCTGGGATTTATATAGAATTCCTCCAAGCACCATGCTGCTCAGCTCAAACAGTGCCCAAGAGGGACCAACAGGACTTTCTGGTAGTGTCCCCCTGACCCACCCTAAGGCTCTCTAAAGTCCCTTCCTCATAGGTGCAGCTGTTTCCAGTCCTAACTCAGAAACAGGAATGTTAGGAATCAGAGAAACGCTCCCCGGTGGCACAGCGGGTTGAGCTCTGCCCTGTGAAGCTGCCCGCAGCCTCTGCAGTGTGGGTTCCATTCCCGGCCGGCCAGGGAGAAACCCGCATGGCGTGGCAGACTTCTGTCTCGCCCGCTGCTCCCCTCAGCAGTGTCTTCAGTCCGTCTGCCTGCTCTGCTTCCCACTCTGTCTCTGGTGAATCCTCTCATCCTTCTGTGCCTCTGACCTGTACCCTGGTTCTTGTATAAATAAATAAATCTTTAAAAAAAAAAAAAAAAGAATCAGAGAAGCAAAGAAATCTGCCTGTGGTGGCCCAACAGGCATGGGGTAGAGCTGAGACCCATTCTTAGATGTCTAATGGAGATAATGACAGCAGTGAATTTTTATTAAATCTATCATACTTGACATTTTTAAATGTATGATCTCATTTGATCCTCCAACACCTCTATGGGACAAACACTGTCATTACCTCCATTTCAAAGATGAAACGGAGACTCAGAGGGGCTTAAATGCATTGCCCACGGCCACACAGCACTCAGTGGAATGAGAATCGGAACATTCTACCAGCAGCCATTAGCCCAGCCCCCGCTCTCCACCATGGTAAGGACCATGTTGCGAGACAGCTCTGGTCCCTGGCTCTCTGGCCACTTGGTCCTTGACAGGAGGCCCTGCAGCTAAAGGTTGTGACCTTGAGGTAGAAACCACCCCCTTCCCTCCCACCCCCGAGCACCTGCTCCGGCAGTGAGGTCACCGGGGCTGCCTGCCCAGCCCTGAGGCCTGTCCCTGCAGCTTTGGCAGAACTGGACCTCTCCGTCTTCTGGCAAATGCATCTATCTAAAGGAAATAAGACCTTAGGGGATGGAGGGCCCCCTTCCCAGAAAGTCAGGGGAAGGGAGGAAGGGGTAGACCTTCTCGACTTGCAGACCCAAAAGGGAGGGCCCGCCACACTGTATGTGGCAGAGCTGGCAGCCCCAGGACTTCTTCTGGCTGAGGCTCAGTTGGGCACCACTCCCTTATGCGAGGTCTCCTGTCAGGAATGCAGCTATGCCTCACTTCCTCTGGGGAGCGTCCCTGGAACCCCGCTATCAGGACAAGCTTCCCCTTACAGTCACCACCCAGAGGCGGGCTACTTGGGTGTGTCCGGTTAGTGGTTGTCACCCCAGAGCCTAGTCCAGTGCGGCACAAAGAAGGTGCTTTAATGACAGGATTAAGAAATGAATGGGCTCCTCTAAGCTGCAGCATGTCACCCGTAAAACGGGTGACACCACTTATTTCATGGATTTTGTCTGAAAAGCTCAATGTACTTAAAGCCCTCACATGCATGCAGTAAGCATCAATTCACAGTGGATCTTATGAAAAGTGCTTTGTAGACTGTCAAGTGTCAAACCAAGGAGGCTTTTAAAAGGAGGTGACCATGTCTCTGAAAGTGCAGGCTGCTTGCTGGTGCGCAGCGGTCAGAGAAAGGGCAGCAGGTGGGGAGCTGCCCTTGAAAAGCTGGCTGGAGGCAGGAATGCTGACCGGTGAGGGGGTAACCAACGACTTGGGCAAGCGTTTGGAATGTTGCCTAAAGGTCAGAAAAACCTGGAGAACTGTCGGGGTGGATGGGGGCCGGGGGGTTGGCCTGCCAGACGAGATAGGGCCGCTGAAGACGCTCCCTTCCTCCGGGAGGGGCGCGCACGTGCGTGCGGCAGGCAGGCGCCGCAGGGGCAGGATAACCCGGGGAAGGCGAAGGCGGTCGCCGGGGGCAGGAGCAGCGACGAGGTGGCCCTCCCCGCCATGCCGCCTGGGGAGTGGCAGGAGAGCGCGGGTTCTGGAGCCCGCTCGACCAGATGCGCAATTTGGGTTCCAATTCACCCTGTCCTGATGTCCAGGCGCCCTGTCAGTGTCCCCTCTGAGCCTTTAAGTCCTCACCTGCAAAGAGGACCCAGAAAGAAGCCAGTGCCGGCAGAATCAGAGCTCTGCCTCCGCCCAAGGGCGCATTTCCCTCCTCCTTGAGCTGCACCTCGCCGCTCTGACCGCGAGGAGCCGGGACGCAAGATGTAGGTGGAGGGCGCCCCAGCTCCGGGCGCGGTGCCTGCGGCTTCACTCTCAGATTGCAAAGCGCGCTGGCTCAGGGGCAGGCGCTGCCAGCCCTGGTGGACCCGGGGCCCGGCGCGCGCGTTGCCTAGAGCCGAGCGCCGACGTCGGCCCTTCCCCGGGCGGTGGGGGGTGGGAGGGGGGCGAGGCTGGGGGAGGGCGAGCGCCAGCGCGGGGCTTCCTATTTCCAGAGCCGGGCACGGGAGCCACGCCTCCTCATGTGATGCACAGACTATTTAAAGCGGCTAAGCGGGCCGGGAGGCGCCGGCCCCGGAGTCCCTGCGCGCCCGCCCTGCCACCTCCTCTCAGCCTCGCGCAGCCTCACCATGGTGGAAGCCTTCGCGGGCACCTGGAAGCTGGTGGACAGCAAGAATTTCGATGACTACATGAAGTCCCTCGGTGAGCGCGGCGCGGAACGCGGTGCTGGGGAGGGGGTGCCACGTGCCCATCGCGGCGCGCGCTCCAACCCTGGCTGGTACCTTGCGCGACTGCTGGGTCAAGGTCGGGGAGCAGAGGGCGGGGGGCGCTGAGGCGGCCGTCTTGCTCGGGGGTCGGGACTGCCTGGAGGGGGCTCCCGCGGTGCGCAGCTGGCCGGAGGGGTTCCCAGGCGGAGCTCAGAGGCCGCGGTTCCTGTCGGTGCCGGGACTGCGAGCGCTCTCCAGGAGGGTTGCTTGATGGGGGCGAAGCGGGCAGTTCCCTTCAAGAAGGGCAGTGATGGAAGAAGCGGGGAGGCTAGCCAGGGGGGAAAACAGGAGCTGGGGGCTCGGGAACTCGAGACCGTGAGCAGGAAAGGGAGCGCTGCAGACAGGAGTGCTGTGGCTGGAGGAAGCAGGAAACACACCAGCGAGCGCAAAGTGGGAAATGTGATGGGAGGTGAGGTGAGGCGGGACCCACAGAGTTCGCGACAATCCCTGCCGGCCCGTGTGGGGTAAGACCGGGGTTGGGGCTGGTGGATGCCCTCCTTTTCACCGGCCAGTCTCTGACCTTGCTCTGCGGGGACTTTAACCAAGCTTTGACTGGCTGGCAGGGAACCTAGTGGTAGGGTGGGGCGGGAGGTCCCTGTTACCAGCTACAACCCAAGGCTCAGCTACTCTTCGGGAAGGGGTTCAGCGGAGAAAGCTATTGAACTTGCAGGGTGCAGCAGAGGGTCCTGGAGCAAGGCCAAGACTTGTTAAAGGCAGGTAGAGTCTTTGGACTAGAAGGGTGTGGTTTTGGGATAGGAATAAAGATACAAAGACTCTCAGAGGTGAGGTCCCTGAAGATTCATGTATAGTAGTGCCCAGCTGACAGATGGGGAAACTGAGACCCTGTGCGAGTAGAAGCCTGTGATATCCATTCCATAGCAGCATTGATATGTGAAAACTTAGGGCTGGGAGGGGGAGGAACTGCTTAATGAATGGCTTCAGCCCGTCCCCTCCTAGTTGGGCTTAGATAGAGGGTAATACTACATTATCCTAGTTTTCCAGGCTGGGACAGGGAAAACCGAAATGCTCTTTATAGGTGAGCTAGGTTCCATGCCTTCCTCAAGGAAGAGGGGCTGGACTATGGCAGATACCCCAGCAGGGGAAGGTCTACGCCCTGCATTGCTCACCTCTGTCCCTAGCCCTTTCCTGAAACAGGGAAAGCCAGCCAGTGTTGGCTTTTGAGGCTAAAGCTCAACTGCCCCTACCTTCTGCTAGGCATCATGCCGGTCATCATTGACTCCTGGAAGGTAGCTGTTCTTAGAGGCACAGGGGTCCTGCGCATCTGCTCAGGAAGTTGGAATGCCCAGGGTCAGGCCTTCCTCATAAGCTTCCCACAGCAGACATTTGGACTGAATCCTTGGAATGAGCTGCTTAGCCTTACCTCTCGTTCCCTTATTTTGCCCCAACCTGGCCAGGGGCCTGAGATTCCACCCAACTTGCTTTTCTCATTGGGCAAATGGAAGGGATGAGAGACCCACGGGCCTCTAATAGCTTCAGCTTCATTTCTAAGTAGAACCTAGCTCTTCCTGAGTCACCTCAATTGTCAAAACTGACGTTTTCAGTCTTAGGTTCTCTTGACTCAGTCTCACTCCACACCGCTCAGTAAGCCCTGTTCCTTCAGTGACAAGGCCCTGCTCTGTGCTGGTGAGTGGATTTGGCCTGACTCATCTGATGGCATGGCGCAAGGCCAAGTCCCTCGCTGGCCAGGCAGGTGGGCCAGCAGCAGCACAGCTGCAAAGGCAGCCCTCGCCCCTCTTGTTTTAGACCAAATGTTCTCAGGGGGCAAAGAGACGCAGCTTCGTTACTACTGGGGATCACAGGCACGGCTGGTGGCCTTAGGGCAGGAATGAAATACATACTGGGAGGCAGTTGATGGGGAGGAGTAGTGAAGTTTTGGAGCCCAGACTCAAATCTAGATCAATCAGTTACTCTTTGACTTTGGACAAGTCACCTCACTCTGAGTCTCTCTTGTAAAGTGGGGATAACAGAACCACATGAGCATTAAGTAAAACCAACCATGTGGGGCACAAGCTAGGTACCTAGCTTCCGCAAGCTCAGCATGTTGGGGGGACTACACACACACCCACCACCTTATCACGCTGGGTGGCCTCCTCCCTCACATCTGCCCTGGAGGACTGCTGGGGGCACAGGGGCAGGGCAGCCATTAAAGAAGGTTCAAGGCAAAAGGGAAGCCGCAGCTGGAAGGGGCGAAGGCTTGGCCTAAAAGCTCTTTGTTTCACATGCTTGCAGGACACTAGGGCTTTGTCCTGCACCCAGGGAAGTCATGCTTGGGTCAGGAGGGAAGCCACCAGCAGGCCTGTAACTAGGAATCGGGAGACTGTACTGTGGGCCTCTCCTAGATCTATACATGGAGACAAACACTTCCTTTCTGCCTACCTGCCAGGCTATAGCTAAGAGGCTTTGAAAATGTCTTCTTGCCATATACAGGGACAGGAGCCACAGTGCATGTCAAGGTAAAAACTTCCAAAGGTGGACATTCTTGTTCCTAAGGCTTTAGAAGGCAAAGCCCACGTTTCTCTTCTTTTCTCAGCCTGTGGCTTGAAAGCTGCTCAGGTGCCCTGGAAGGATGCGCTGTGCCCCAGCTCTGGAGGCAGTATAGCAAGGCAGTTATACATGAGCTCTGCACTAACACAGTTGCTTGAATTCCAGGTTTGTGACCCTAGGCTTTAACGCCATCTCAGATTTTGCATCTGTCAGAGATGAGAACATCAGCCCTCCTGGGAAGACTGGCATGAGACAGCACAAACAGTTTTTAACTTATAGAAAGCACTTAATAGCATTTCGCTTATTCTGATCTTAGCTCTGCCCCTGCGGTATGTCGAATTTCCTCACTTGTTTAATAAGATCAATAGTGTCTCTTCAACGAACAGAGCTAACAGGAAGACTGGAAAAAAAAAAAAAAAAAAAAAAGACCATGTAGTCTTTGAGTTCTTGTGCTCCTCTTCCTGGTATTCAGTGCTGAATGGTTCATTGGTGACCTGGCGCCTGCCTGTCTACTCTAGCACAGGTACTCATCACCTTGTCTGTCCTCAGGTGTGGGTTTTGCCACCAGACAGGTGGCCAACATGACCAAGCCTACCACAATCATTGAAGTGAACGGGGACACTATCACCCTAAAAACACAGAGTACCTTCAAGAACACGGAGATCAGCTTCAAGCTGGGGGTGGAGTTTGATGAGACCACAGCAGATGACAGGAAGGTCAAGGTGAGTCAGGGGAGGGGTACAGGGCATGGATAGAAGATTAGAGACCCTCAGTGGGTAATAGGGTGGCAGTCTTGGCACCCAGTTGTTGCACTCTGAGGGCAGGCTTTATGGGGATAGGCGGGAACAAAGTCCATAAAGCCTTGCAGTGCTAGAATGTCCCAGGTACTAAAAGCACAAGAGTTGTACCCTTTTCTTTTCCTCCCTCCCTTCTGGGGAAGCATCTACCAGCTTTCTCTGGGGTGGGCAGCACAAAGTCCGGATGTGCTTCTGACCTCAGTGTCTACTCCAGCTCTAGCTGGATAACCTTGTGCATGACATGCAACAGCTCCAGGATTCTTCTTCCTCCATAGATAGGGGAGTTATGTGGCCAGACTGTGGCCTCAAGTACTTTAGGAATGATGCCCAGGGGAAGTCATGGCCCTCTATTGCATGAGCAGTCAGCCTGGTCTCCAGCAGCAAAAGATATAACTGGGGACAAAAGTCTAAGATCTACTCAGTTGTTTCCTCTTCTCCAACCTCCACCCCCTGGGGCTTGGCCAGTGACCCTATGGAACAATATCCAATGCTGCCAGGCCACAGGCAGGAAGAGCTATGATCTGGATGGGGTACTGCTGTGTGAGTGTTTATAGTGTCTTTCTACCAAGCCTTACTTCCCACCCCAACCCCATAAGGGAGAGGACAGCCACCCCCAGTCTTAGAGCCTGTCACCCTGCTATGGCTGTCTTGGCAGCCTGCCTCTTAGTCTGTGAGCCAGGCATGAACAAGAGCTAAGGGTGTTGGACCTCTACAGTAGTATCCTCCCACCAGAACTTATCGTTCAGTCTCTGTTCCCTCTTCCTCAGAGCAGCCCCAGGAAGAATAGGTGGGGTCTGGTCTCCTTGTGGAGGAAGCTGGAGCCCATGCCAGGATCACACAGGAAGCTGAGAATGGGGCTGGGATGGTACTCAAAGATGGCAGCCTACCAGGATAGAGGTGGCCGTCCCACCATGTCTCTACCTCCTTGGACTAGCCCAAATTCAGGGCAAGAACCCCAATTTTGGCTTAGCTGTGCCTAATCTTAAAATTATAATGAGGTATAAGTTGTTGGTAAGGATACATACACTACCACATCTGGCCCCAAACACAGACACATACATACCCAACTTTCTCAGATTCTCCTACTGAACCCTGCTCAGTCAGGGTCTGCTAGCCTGGCCTAGAGCCCCCAAATTCCTAGAGAAGAGAGATCTGGGAGAGCTGCCAACTGAGAACCAGCTGATGCAGCCTGGCAGTGCTCAAAAGACTAAGTGGGCATTGGAACAGGGCTGTGGAACACTCCAAGGGCATCCAGTCCCAGGACCTGGCAGTTGTTACCCTACTTGTCACCTGAATGGGTCACATGATGGGTGACATGGGTCACATGGACCAAGAAGACAGGACTACAGGGCAGGCACGAAGTCTTTTTTTCCAGTATCTCCCAACCCCATGGGCCTTTTAGACATTATGTGTGGAGGACAGAGTCTTAGGACTTCTTTCCAGCTTTTCTCAGGAACATAGGCCAGTACACACTGGCCTTATCTTAGTGGGTCTGTGGTTATGGACATCACCTAGAGTACATGGTAAGTGCCCACTGTGAGGCCGGTGGCATTTCCCAGAGTCAGGCTGTCTAGCCCCACCATACTGCCTGCCTTGCCTGACTTGCCTCCCTCACCAGGCAGTAGTGGGGCAGAGGCTGGAGGTGGGCTGTCTGAGCTGTGGTCCTAGTTTGGGTCAGTCTGAATCCTTCATGGTCCAGTGACCAGACCCCATCCTATCCCTCAATCCTAGCTCAGATCACAGCTCAGACCCCTACCCTCTTTCCACAGACCACTGTGACACTGGATGGAGGCAAACTTGTTCAGTTACAGAAGTGGGATGGGCAAGAGACAACACTTGTGCGGGAGCTATCTAATGGAAAACTCATCCTGGTAAGATGGGCAACATCGGAGCCTCACTTAATTTGGTTACTACTTCAGCCAAGTCTGCTATAAAATGTCAAGCAGCAGTGGGAGGTGGGACTATGGAGGGCAGAGACAGGGCTGGGTGGTATCCAGTAGGAATTTTCTGTGTAGTGGCTGTGGACTGGTGGGGGACCTTATGACAGCGAAGTCCTTTCTACTTCATTCCAGCTCCACCTGCTCTCAGTGCTTTCCAGGTCTGGCCTACTGCAAGTGCCTGACTAAAACTTGGAGAGGAAGTGGCAGTCAGGCTGGCAGATCTGTCTGTTGGAAATGTAGCCTTGATGTAACACCCCCAGACCCAGGGGCAGGGATAGCAGCCAGCCGCAGTCTGTGCCTCCTAACTCTGTAGAGCACCTGACTTTCGCCTCGGCGTCTTCACTGAAGATCTCTTTGGATCAGTACAACCTGCTCACCTCATACATCCACATTATGTGGATGCACTCACACAGGGCAGGGGGACTTTGATGGGACTGTGATAGGCAGGACCAGATACTCTTTGGGTAAACAGGACTGTGGCAACACTAGATGGTGGAGCTCCTGGCACTGTCCTCAGTTAGAGAAGAATGGAGAGTTGGTGAACTGGCACAGTCCCTCTCCAAGAGTCTCTGGACATATTAGTCACTTATTTGGCTATGTGCATTAAAATGAAGTGAGAGGAATGATGTATAGGAAATAGAAACAATCTGGGCTATTTCAAGCTCATTTCCCCAAATCTCTAAAAGAGGAAAAGAGGAAATACAATGCCTATCTCGGTATAGGTATCAAAAAAGAAAATATGTAAAATGGCTGGCACATAGTAGGTGGTCAAGAAATGAAGAGAACTAGGATGAAGGTAGAGGGCCCTCCATATTGGAATGAGTGCTTTGAGTACCTTTCTTGTCCTCTCTCTTTCCCTAACTTGCCTGTCTTTCCTTTTAGACACTCACCCATGGCAGTGCAGTTAGTGTTCGCACTTACGAGAAAGAGGAATGATCTGCCGGCGCATTCACTGAAAGCTACTCTGCCAATTGGCTACCCCTGGACTCAGATTGCCTCATTTTTTCTTCTGGCATTTTGTATAAATCCACCTCGATTGGAGAATTCTTCTGGGGTCAGTTGGCGCCAGTATGGATCCAGTTCCAGTTCCCATTATGTATATTTGTTTTTTTTAACTGCATCCAAAGGGTGCTCTGAGGTCAATAAACAAAGCCAAGGCCAGCCAGTTGCCTTTATGCGTTTGGTGACACAACTCTGGGAGTTTTGGTTTCTCTGTGGTCAGAAAATGATCAGAAGTGACTGCCTACAGGTCACTCAGAAAGAAGCACTAGCTGAGAGACTGAAATGGACAGTCTCAGAGACAGAGGTAGTTAGCTGATCACCTCACATGTTCAATAATAAAAGAGCTGTACCTACACCTTGCCTTTACACTTGCCCCCAACCTATGATCCAAATGAGCAAGTCCAATCTGGAATTATCAGGCAGTGGCAGGCCTTCCCCAGGCTCCTTCCCCTTGGCTACTAAACTGTCACTTCAGGCCCATTCCCACTGAATGCTCTTGGGTGTGGTTAGTTGCTTTTCTCTGTGGAATGTTGTGGTGTCTTTCTAGAATGCAGACAGGGAATACAGGATGCTTTGGACTGGGCTTTGGTGGTAGAAAATAACCATTGGCAAAAACCCCACCTATGCCACAGGTCATTACTCATGGTTATAAATTCTTATTGATTTTCTAATTAGCTCTGGTGGGAGAGGTCACCTGATCACTGCCATGAAAGGGTTTATAGGTGGACTCTGACTTGCTAGTGCCTCTGGCTCTGTACCTCAGCTGGATTTCTCTCCAAGGCAACGAAGATTCAAACTCAGTGACCATTAAGTCTATAAATAATCCAAGAAGAAGATTATAGTAATAAAAACTTTCAGTAAGTTTAGAACCAAACACATTTCCATTTAGTGTGAAGAATGTAACCAGACACCTGAAATGGAACCAATGGACTCACACAGTAGTAAATACAAAGTAAAGCAATGATTTTGGCTTGAGTTGTCAGGCAGAATGTCACACACAAGCTCAGTCACTGCAAACAATGGTTTTCTCGCTGTGACCATTGGCGGTCATTTCTAGCATAGAATCATTATGGGAAATGGAAAAAGTGAGCACCACTTCTCACCACGTTCCCCTCATACTGCCAGCCTCTCTCTGCCATCATGTTGGATGCAGCAGAGGTCACTCACCAATCAGCCCAGGGCAGGACAACAGGGAAGGGCTGATCACTCTGTTCTCCACCTATAGCCACACTCACCTCCACAGCAGTACCTGTGGCTCCAGCCTGGACTCCTTTGCAGGAATCTGGCTCTGGCAGTGGCAGCTGGAGAGGGTAATAGGACCTCCTGCTGAATTAAGAAGTTGGATGAATGAATGGGTGAGCTGCAGAAGTCAATTGCAAAGGGACAAGAAGTGATAAGGAAACAACTTATTCAGGCAGATGCCTTTGGCATCTAACTCCCAAACCTGCCGGCTGCATGAGGGATGCCACGTCATGGGAGGGAAGTCAATGGGGTGGGAGGCTACAATCTCACTATCGAGTCTTTCCAAGAGCCAGGGCTTCAAGGCACACGTCTCCTGGTTCCTTCTCTCAACCACCCCCTCTGCTCTTTCCACTCTCACTCCTTGTGCTTTTTCTTATGCTTCTTCTTCTTTTTCTTCTTCTTTGCTGCCTTGCTGTCTTTTGATGTGTGCCTCGCCTTCTTGCCTGTATCACTCTCGGAGTCTGAGCTGTCAGACTCAGATGACTTCCTGTCTCTGTGTTTCTTTTTCTTTTTTTCCTGAAAAGAAAATTTAAAAACTCAATATTGTATATGTACATTTGTTTTTGAAATGGCATGTGATCAATAGGGGACCATTTAATACATTATAATGCACTAACTAAAAAGAAAAAATGAAACCTTCCAATACTGACAAGAAAAAAATGCCCAAAACAAATTAAGTGAAAAGATCAAGACATAATACAGGGCCTCCCTGATGGTACAAGGGGTTAAGTACCGCACTATAAAGCAATCTGCAGCCTCTGCAGCACGAGTTCGATCCCCGGCCAGTCAGGAAGCAACCCACATGGCGAGGCAGATCTCTCCTGTCTTGCCCACTGTACCCCTCAGCAGTGTATTTCAGTCTGCCTGTTCTGTTCCCTGTTCTGTGTCTGGTGGATCCTCTCACCCCCCCGCATCTCTGGCCTGTACCCCAGCTCTTGTGTGCATAAATAAATAAATCTTAAAAAAAATACAGTATGTATTCTAGATTCCAGTGTATTTAACTTATAACTATGTGTGTATTTATTACACACCATACATGCATGCATGCCATACAATGTGTATATATATATGTGCACCCATATCTTTATTAAAACATAAAGAAAACAGTGGGAAAGACACAAACTAGCAACCAGTATTACCTCAGGAATAAAGTGAATGGAAAGAAAGGACAGGGGTCTTTCACAGGAAATTAAAGCTGGAAGGAGTCCTCAGTGATCACCTAGTCTATCTAGAAACAGTGACTTACATGCCCCATAGTGAAAGAGCAATAGATTTAGGAGTCCTAAGTCTAATTTCTACTAGACTCCGCTGCCATGGAAATAATTACCATCGATTAATGAAGATCTACCTATTGCCCTTGAATATTTATCATCTCTAGCCATCATAACAACTTCATAGAAGATTATAATAATAAAGAAAAAAAGCTCAGAATTTTCTCACCATAATGCCAAAGTAACAGCATAAACTCATACAAAGAATGGGTCGCAGTTTCCCAGGCCTCTATGGAGTGCTTTCAACAGTTTTAAAGCCTTGCATAAAACTTTTCCTTGAATTTCACGTATTTACATAGCTTCAATAAGGTTTCTAAGAAGGAAGAGAGATAATAGAAGGAGAAAGAGAGCAGAGGAGGCAAAGCTCTTGCTCTTCTTACAGGATCCAAGCAGCGTCCTGAGAGCTGTAAGTCTGCCTGAGTGATACACCAGGCCTTACGAGTAGGCCTTACGAGTCGGCTGTGAGAAATGGTGTCAAATACCGAACCAGCTGTTAGACCTAGACTTGAGTTCTGGCTCTGCCACTTACTATTCTGTAACTTTGGATGTAAGTCAGTTCACCTCACTGAGGCCGTTTCCTCAAATGTTAACAGAGATGATGACAGCCCTTATGTTACATGGCTGTGGTGAAGATTTAATGAGATAGTATCTGGCTTAAGAAGGTGAAAGCCACTTGCCCTAGATCTTACAGGCAGGATCAGGATCTGCATGTAGATTACATGACTGGAAATTTTCGGATTTTTCCTCTGTAGCACATGGCACCTCTTCCTATAGGATGATGGCAAGCTTCATGGTATGGAGGTCAGAGCAACAAATTTGGAATAGGATAGAATTATGTTCAAATTCCAACTGTGTCATCACTTACTAATTTGTGACTTGGAATAAGAAGCTTAACTTTTTGAACCTCAGTTTTCTTTACAGTAAATTATAAATAATAAATACCTACTTCAAAGGATGGTATTAGGGCTTAAACAAGTTAAGTACTAACTGCAGCGCCTGACGCATGGTAGGTACTCAGTGGTAGCCAGAAGTAGTAGTCTCTCATTTTGGGAATTCCCACAATGTTTTGACAGTCTAGCTAAATATCTGTATTATATAAATCAAAGTTTTGAGAAGGAGATTAAACTAAAACTCTTCTTTGAAGTCTCCAAAGGAGTAGAGAGAGAGAGGGGAACAAAGCTTCCCAGCCCCATATTACCAGGCTACAGGAGCCACGGCTGGGAGGAGCTGAGGGTTGGCAAATCACTGGTTTGGCTTATGGTGCTGTATCTTCCTGATGGCAAGGTCATGAACACCCACCACAGAATATTTGGGGTTGGGAGCCTCATAGGTTCTGCTCCTTAGGTAGGGCAGGGTCCTGGGAAAGTAAATAAGCAAATGCAAAGTCTGTACTATTTCCCTCAAGCCCGGCCCAGCCTGGATAAATGAAGAAGGAGAGTAATAATACTTCTTTATACCCAAGTAGCACTTTAATTTATCCAGGTTTCTGTATCCCTTATCTTATAATAATAATCTGGTAAGGTCAAAATTAAGAAATTATTTGCATTCGTTTTACAGATAAGAAAACTGCACCTCAGAGAAGTAAAGTGAATTGACTGACCAAGGCTCAAGTGACAAAAATGTTGCATTTTCTAGCTTGGAGTTTGACATTATTTCCACTTTGCTCACTCTCTCAAAGATGCAGGCTCAGGAGGAGGAAAGAGAAAAAGAAATCACTATAGAACTCTGGCATGCTGGTACATGCACTCCAGACCTCAATTTTCATGCACAAGCTCTTTTACAACTTGAACAAAGGAAATCTAGTTTTCCAGCAGGTGGCATCATTTTCACCATGTGTCTAACCCTGAGCTACAGAACAAAGAAAAATCACTTAGGAAATTGTATTTCAAGAAGAAAGTTGAGCCAGAGAGGATGGTGAGCTTCTGACCCCCCAAGCGCATTCAAGGGGGTTGTGGAACAAGATAACTGATCAAAAAGATGGCTCATGGGTGTGAGCCCAAGGCAGGTAGGGCAGGAGGAGCATGGTTGAAAAGTATCAATGCTCTCTAAGAAAAGTACATACTCCCTACTACAGCAGCTAGCCCACCCACAGTGTCTACAGTTCTGAATCAGAACAGCAGAAGCCTAGTGTAAGAGAAAAACAAAAACCGAGAAGGGAATAAGAGCAGCTCACTCAGTACCTGGCTGGTACACATACTTAATCTAACATCACAGTCAAATCTATTAAATGACCATAGGTATCCCTGTATTTTCAGGAAAGAAAATTTTAGCTTTAGAGAGGTTGACTGAGATGAAGTGACTTGCCCAAGTGGTAGAATTTGGATTTGACTCAGGCTGGGTCCCAAAGAGGATGTTCTTTTTAGCCCTCTCTCTATTAAAGGCAGCACCTAACTTAGCACTTCCCAACCAATAGGCACTGACTTGGTGAGAAATCCAACAAGCAAGCACTTATTCTTTTTCCCTTCTTCTTGAGAAATGATTGATTCTTTTATTCTTGAGAAATGACTGATTCTAAAGACATGATTTGATTCTCAGGGTTAGTTTCTGGGAAGTAGGATTAGAGTGACTCCTGGTTAAAATTTGCCTATAAAGAACCAGTTTACCAAAGCTTAGAAATGGTCAAACCAGAATGAAAAGGTTTAATTAATCAACTCACAAATATTTACTGAACTTTACCACCTACAACACACTTTAGTGAGCCCTAGTTACAGATAGCACTAATTAGGAGATCAGATAACACATAGATTTTTAATAGGACTGAGAATATGTACCTGTACAAAGCAGTAGTAGGAGATGCAAACTAAACATATTTGGTAGTGGAGCCTGGCTCTAAATCTGAGCCAACTTATCAAAAAAGGTACCGTATCCACACAGTATATTCATTTAATGAATATTTACTAAGTATGTTTGAAGAGCCAGGAATAGCCATTTATTAATTTGTCTCTTATTATAGTTGTTAGGTCAGAGATCAGGGATCCTGAGGCTTTAAGGATCCCTGGTTGGTGTCAAACACCATCTAGTTTAGATCCAGACCTGAGTTCAGGCTCTGCCACTAACAATTACTATCCTGTCTCTGATCCATGAGACACATGTTTTCTCATAATATAGCAATGATTCAGAAAGACCCATGATGACAACATGATTAACTAAAACAGGTAAGCAAAGCATAGACCACAGGTTCATGGAAAATTATCCACGGCTTCACAACAAAACCCTCTATTCCTATATTACCAATCACCTAGTATCCATTTCCATCTCTAACGCAGTTTCCTCTTGTTCTAATTATGCCTAATTATATTTTTCAGATACTAGGTCAAAAATTATCATGGACCCAAATCAATGTACATTAGATTTTGGACAAGGACATACATTCAATATATGAAAGTTGGATGAAAAGAGTTGGAGGGAGGTACTCAGAATTAGGAAGATCTCTTATTCCTGCCCCCGCTTCATTCACTATTAAAAGTAAATATAGTATTATAAAACAACTTTTATTGTTTTATCAGGATAATACAATAAAAAATGTAAGAGTATTCTGTAAATTGTTAAATACTAAACAAATATAGGGCATAAAAGATAATGGAGGGATTAACACTGAGGTGAAAAGACCATGATGCTAGATGACAACCTGGTAAAACAGTGGGCTTCAAGGTATGTTTTAATATTTTTAGCTCCCTAGAGAATTTTTTAATCAAAGAGAATTCATGAGTTAAGAGTTCATAGACACAAAGGTACTGTTAAATATAATAAGGTATGATGATTATTGCTGCCGTTGTTCATCAGACCATTCCTCTACTAAGAGAACAGCAACAGAGTAAGATAATAATAGGCTGACTAAGCAGGTCATAAAGAGCTTCATGCCTAGCAGATCTTTCGTTACTTTTTGTGAACTGAAATACACATCTCAAAGCAGATTCAGGAACAGAGCTGTAACTAATATTGCACCAGTAGTATAGCAAGACGAAAACTTAACCGAAGATCCATGGAAATGAGACAGCCACAAAACTGCTTTGGGAATCAAACAAATACCTTTTATCCCCTAAAAGGTTAAAAGAGAAAGAAAAATTCTTGGAACAAATGAAATCGGTTAAAAATCTAGCTCTAATACAACGTAAAATTACCTGTTTGCACACATGATCTTAGATATAGAAAACCCTAAATATTCCACAAAATGACTGCTAGAAATAATGAGTTCAGCAGAGTTGAAGGATACAAAATCAACACAAAAATCAGATGTATTTCTATACACTAACAATGAGCAATCTGAAAAGACAATTAAGAAAGTAACTCCAAAACAGACAATTATGAACCAGAGACATACTGCAGGGGAGGAGGTGGGAGAGGGATCAGAGGAAGGGAGGGAGGAGCACAGACTGTGGTGATGGTACATGGGTGCCATGGGGAAGGAAATTCTATGGGGACTCAATCTGAGGGGGTGGGAGGAAGCAAATACAGTCTAAAAAATTTTTTTAAATGATAAATGTTAAAATAAAAAAAAGAAAGAAAGAAAAAAAAGAAAGTAACTCCAGGACCTCCCTGGTGGTGCAAGGGGTTAAGATGCAACCTATGAGGCCAGCCAGGGAGCAACCCACATGGCGCAGCAGACCTCTCTGTCTCTCCCGCTGCTCACCTCAGTGTACTTCAGTCAATCTGCCTGTTCTGTTCCCCACTCTGTCTCTGGTGAATCCTCTCACCCTCCCACACTTCTGGCCTGTACCCCAGTTCTTGTATGCATAAATAAATAAAATCTTAAAAAAAAAAAAAGAAAAGAAAAAAGAAACTAACTCCATTTATAATAGTATCAAAAGTAATAAAATACTTGGGAATAAAGTTCACCAATCAGGCAAAAGGACTATAGCATGTTGAAAACTACAAAACTCTAATAAAAAAAAAAGTATTTCGGGCCTCCCCGGTGGCGCAGCGGTTGAGCGCTGGGTTGTGAAGCTGCCCGCAACCTCTGCAGCGCCGGTTTGATCCCCGGCTGCTCCCCAGCCACCCGGAGGAGGGTCCCACATGGCGCACAGACCACTCCTGCCGCCCGCTGCTCCCCTCAGCAATGTACTTCGTCAGTCTGTCTGCTCTGCTCCCCGCTCTGGCTCTGGTGAATTCTCTCACCCTCCCGCGCTTCTGACTGTACCCAGTGCTTGTATAAATAAATAAATAAAATCTTAAAAAAAAAAAAAAAGTATTTCAAAAATTTCTGCAAAAAGCACACTTAAACTTTAAAACTCAAAAAAAAAATTGATAAATGCAATATAAGTTAGATGACATTTACCTTCTTTCTTTTTCTAGAATTCCTCGTGGGATCAGGCTTATCTGCTGACTTTGCCTCTTCCTTCTCTTCATCCTCCTCAGGTATCAGGGAGTATTTGGTTCCACCTGGTTGCATGAAACAATCCTTTGCAAAGTGGCCTGCAGAAGAGAAGTAGAAAAAAGAAAAGGTAAGGAAGAAGTATTCTTTCCTCTCAGTTGGGCAGTCTTCCCCAGAGGCTCCTGAAAAGGGCTAGCTGGTTTGGGAGGAATTATTGAGTTCATTCAGAGCAGCTATTGGATGCAGAGCAGATTTTCTGTCACTTCAAGGCGGCATTGCTCAAGCAATCATAGCGAAACTAGAACTAGTCCTAAAACTGTGGGAAACACCAATACTGCTTTGGAAACGGCAGAGGAAGTGAGGATGCAAGTTTGTGTTGCCTTCTTCTAGCAGCAGAGCTTTGTCATTTTTAAAGATCTATTTGGAACTTACTCTTGATAATGAAAGGCTACTCCAGAGATAAGCATTTTGAGCAGAGGAAGCTGAGTGGCAGGCCAAGCCCTATAGGAAGGTAATTCTTAGGAAGACAGGTCTTAGGCAGCTGGCGGGAAGGTGGCACTCACATACAAGCTAACACAAACAAGCACAATCACCTTATTGAGGGGTACCCAATATTCAGATTGCCAGGTCTGGCTAGGGCCTTAGAGATCATGAAATCCAACAGTGCATCGCAAAAGATAGGAGGTACTAAAGTAGAGAAGGAGCTCAAGATCACACAGATAACAACAAAGTAAAACTTACCCTTGGTCTCATGCCTCCCTCCCCTTTATTTCTCTGATATAGCAGAACCAACCACCTTTGGCCTGATTTTTGCAGACTAGGTCAAATTCCATCTCTCATTATTCTCTGCCTCATGTAACACCTGGTGGACGCAAGTTGAAGGTAAGAAGACCCCACTCTTCTTGAGGCTACAAAGCTATTAAGGGGCTTTTTAACAGATGCTACAGAGCTGGTTTTGTCTGTGCTTGTTATAGATCCTGTCTCAGGGGCACAGAGGATTTGATGAGATCATCAAAGTCACATGTAAACTACTTTCAACTCTGAGTCCAGAAGCTGGATGGGGAATATAGCATCGCTTCCAAATATCTGGAATGTTCACACATTTCCTCATGAGGAAGTATTCTCTCATTTATGTTCCCTTTTCCCCTCTACACTAATGATAAATAGGGGCTTAAATCTGCCCCACAATCTCAACCAGGACACAAATGTGCTACCATTTGTAGAAAAATCAAGACATCATGGTAAACAGAAGCCTAGCGAGGAGTACAAATTGAGGTCACTCTGAAAATGAGACACTGGCTATCCCTCCCATTATAGCACCAACAAGGGAAGTCAGGCTGAAAGAGTTCTTTAATATCTGAGTAAGATGAGAGGAAACCTGAGGAAACAGCTAAAGAAAGTGACTAGCCTGTGTTCTTTATTACTAAAAAGGACATTGTGTCCAGAACTCTGAAGTTACAAGAGATAAAGATACAGAAGAAAGAGGCTGACTTGTGTCCTTAAGGAATGTATTTCCAGGTTGCTTAATTCCCCGCACACATTTTAAAAGGACAGGTTTATTAGGAAAAGGAGAAAGAAAAAGAGGCATCTGCACAGTCATAGGAGGGCAGGAGAGCTCCAAGTTGCTCAATTTTGTAGCAGAGAAATAACAGTCCTTAGAGATAAAAATTTAGAGTGTTTCTCATAATCTAACACTCTTACTCCTCTAGACAGTACAAGGGATGCTGCCATTGTAGGCATCAGCTAGGGAGAATGGGGTGTGGTGGTGGTGGCAGTAATAGTGGTATAGTACCTGGCAGGGCAGCAGCATTCAGAAAAGGAAACAGAAAAAGCATAAGCCATGATCTTCTGATGTAAGTCCAACAAGACTTACATCATGAGTAAGTGAGGCCATCACTGGGCTAAAAAACAGGGTTAGCTAAACTCATACCAGGCTGCCTCTCTCATCCAGTAAAGGATCTGTCCACAAGGACAGTAAGTCTGAAATGGCAGAGGCTTTGCCTTACCTTTACAGCCACACTTCTTGCAGGTGGTGTTCAGGACAGCTTCAAGTGTGATCTTCTGTCCAGTGTAATCCTGGAACGACCGCCTCCGCCGCTCTTCTTGCCTTTAACAAAAAAGATACTTAATAGACCACTTAATAGATGTGGCCAGAGATACACTGGACCACTTAATAGATGTGGCCAGAGATACAAGGTAATGTTATATGTTGACTTTTATTTTGGCCTTGGCAGGGAGAAGAGACAAAGAAGGAAAAGTAAAATGGAGCTGTTACCTACTTTGTAGGTTATGAGAACTATATACACTAATGTATGTAAACTGCCTTTCATAAATGCCTAGTACATCACATGTATTTAATAAATTTCACTTCCAGGCCTCCCCGGTGGCACAACGGTTGAGCGCTGGGTTGCGAAAATGCCTGCAGCTTCTTCTGCGCTGGTTCAATCCCCAGCCACCGGGTGAGGGTCCCACATGGCACACAGACCTCTCCTGCCGCCCCCTGCTCCCCTCAGCAGTGTACTTTGTCAGTCTGCCTGCTCTGCTCTCCACTCTGACTCTGGTGAATTCTCTCACCCTCCCACGCTTCTGACTTACCCAGTGCTTGTATAATAAACAAACAAACAAATAAATAATAAGTGTCACTTCCCTTTCTTTTAGGTAAAATCCTTCATATCCAAAGTGATTTTGCTCAGAACTAGCAAACATAAGGGTTTCCAAACTTTTCACCACCAAGATCCCATGCAAATATAATCTATTCTTTTTTTTTTTTAATTAATCAATAACAGGGGCCTCCCTGGTGGCGCAAGGGGTTAAGACGCAACCTATGAAGCAGTCTGCAGCCTCTGCAGCATGAATTCGATCCCCGGCCGGCCCGGGAGCAACCCACATGGCGCAGCAGACCTCTCCTGGCTCACCCGCTGCTTACCTCAGCAATATCTCCGGTCAATCTGCCTGTTCTGTTCCCCACTCTCTCTCTGGTAGGTCTTCTCACCTCCCCCACCTCTGGCCTGTGCCCCAGCTCTTGTATGCATAAATAAATGAATCTTTAAAGAAATTAATCAATAACATAGCTGCACTGAGAATACCTGATCAGTGTGAAATAAACAATGTAATAGGGCCTCCCTGGTGACCTAAGTTTAAGTCTCAGTGCCATCACCACTACGGCCTGAGTTCGATCCCCAGCCAGGGAGCTACCCCATATGGCACAGCAGACCTCTCCTGTCTCACCCGCTGCTCCCCTCAGCAGTGTATTTCAGTAGATCTGCCTGTTCTGCTCCCCACTCTGTCTCTGGTGAATCCTCTCACCACCACACCCTGTGCCCGCACTGCTGGCCTACACCCCAGTTCTTCTACACTTTTTTTTTTTTAAAGTAATATTTTATCATCAAAACAACAAAATAATGGAATGGTTAACTCAAAGATAAATGTATGATTTTGGCTGGCTTTCAGAGACACTGGAAACAGTTTCTAAGTCCCCAAGACACCCTTATAGGTTCTTAGGGATCTAGGAATCCCTAGCTACAAATCAATACATATATTCAAGAAAGACTCTGAGACAGAGAGCAAATTCCCAAATGAAAGGTTAGAAGAACCAATAACAGAAAGGTATTATTTTCTGAACACAATGTATCCCAAGATTTAAGAGTTTAAACTCTGCTAGAGGTTGCTCCTATATTAACCTACCATTCCACATGGTCTCTACCTTTTTTCAGCCTTACAGTCAGGAGAGGGGCAAGTAACAGGCACTTCATGAATGCTTGTTGGCTAGCAGGTTAAAGAGCAAAAGCAGAAAGAGAACAAGAAGAAATAAAACCACTGATGGAGCACTTCTGTTACAGACTTGGAGTCTTCTTTAGAGATTCTGACTCCTTATAAAAGAATTTAGCAATGGGGCAAGACAGATTACATCCAGACATGGCTTCATGCTTAAACGCGAGAAAGGCAGCACCAAAAGAGAAAGTTTTCAGGTCCGCTCCCTGAAGTGAGCTAGGAAAGGATTTTCAGGAGTTTCTTTACCAGAATGGGATAGAGGGGAGCAGTGCTGGAGTATGTTTTGAATGGGCTGCACTAGGGCATGTGCAGACAGGTTACATGCTCTTTCACGTTACATGTCTCATTAGCATCTTACATCTCCACCCAGGGCTGGGACCTTGGTGACTCTGTGTCAGATTCTTTTACCATCTGTGTATGCAGGGTCCTCAGTCATCCACGCCTCCCTTGCAGGGAATTGTGAAACTATCATTTGTGAGGATATAGCATCTTTTGCCAAGGTATGATGACTTTGGTGAGTCTGGTGGATTAGGCTGTTTAAACAAGATGACAGGCAGCGAACTACCAGTTTATAGTCTAATCTACCTAGGCTATCTCATTTCTATGCTGGGAGCTTTGTATTTTAGCATTTCATCTTAGAACTGCATACTTTATACCTCTAAAAACCAGAGAGCACAAAGATAACATAAATCATTAAAGCACAAGGTCTATAAATGGTCAATTTCCCAGGTCAGCCTGATTCACTACCACATTCTACTGTTTCAGAGGCAGAGGATTTCCAAACCTTTTACCTACTCAATGATAACGTTGTTAGGGTCGAGGTCTTTCCCAGTCCCTTGGTTGACAACTTTCATGGAAAGAGATACTTTTATCCTATCATTTTTCATCTGAAAAAGACAAAAGCAAAGTCACCAAAACTTCAAAGAACATGATTTAGATGTGCTTCTCATCTAGAATTATCTAAAAATCAAAGCTTTTATCATCATAACAAACACTAAGCACCTGTAGTGGCTAAGGGTGTGTATTAGGAAGTGGCTGCTTATAAGCACAATAGGCAGATCCAATGGCAGAATTTCAGGAAATGGTCTTCATCTCATTTTTTTTCATCACAGTGTTAAAACATAAAATCCACTACCTAACCATTTTTAACTTTACAGTTCAGGAGTATTAAGTACATTCACACTGTGGTACAGCCATCAGTACCTTCTACCCCCGTAAGTCTTTTCATTGTGAAACCAAAACTCTGCCTATTAAAGAAGAAGTCTCTGTTCTCCCCTCCCCCATAGTCCCTGCAACCATCAGTATATTTTGTCTGCATGGTTCTGACTATTCTAAGTACCTCATATCAATGTAAGTAGGATCAAACAGCATTTATCTTTTAGTGACTGTCTTATTTCATTTAGCATCATGTCCTCAAGATTCATTCCTGTTGTAGCCTATTGCAAAATGTTCTTCCTTTTAAAGGCTGAATAATCATCCGCTATATGTATGCATCACATCTTGCTTATCCATTTATCAGTCTGTGGACACCTAGATTGCTTCCATTTATTGTGAATAATGCTGCTAAAAACAAGGGTATACATATATCTCATCAAAACCCTACTTTCAATTCCTTTGGGCATACCAAGAAATGGAATTGCTGGGTCACACAGTATTTGCATTTTTAATTTTTTTTGAGATTTATTTATTTATGCATACAAGAACTGGGGTACAGGCCAGAGGTTGGGGGGGTGAGAAGATTCACCAGACAGAGAGTGGGGAGCAGAACAGGATTGACTGAAATACACTGCTGAGGGGAGCAGCAGGCGAGACAGGAGAGGTCTGCTGTGCCATGTGGGTCACCTCCCTGGCCAGGGATCGAACTCATGCTGCAGTGACTGTGGATAGCTTCATAGGCTGCATCTTAACCCCTTGTGCCACCAGGGAGGCCCCTTTTTAACGTTGCCACAATCTGTCCTGAACTTAAACCTCCTGGCTATCTGTCCTGCAAACTCAGAAAGAATGGTGTGAAGTCACACCCACGGCCCTCATACACTCAACAGTTAACAGATCCTTCAGACCTTTTTCACTTCCCTCATAGTGCATTGTGCCAGGTATTTAGGAAAAATGACTATAAATTCTGTGTCCTTTTTGTTTTGGTTCAAAAACTGAAGTATAGTTGGCAGGTATTCTTTGAAGTCTATAATGAAGATTTGTCCCATAGATTGTTTCCTTCTTTCTTCTTGGTTCTTATCTTTTTTTTTCTTCCCACTACTATTTAGGTAAATTTCAGGAAGGGAAGTTTTACCAACATGTACTTATTGTACCACATTTACTGCAGTTCACACCATTTCTTCTGAGTGTGCTGGACAGATAGCCAGGAGGTTTAAGTTCAGGACAGATTGTTGCCACGTTGAAAACCAGGTTGTCAGCTACAGTTAATAACATATATACACTCTCACCATTATAAAATACCAAAAAAATCCCAACTTCTCCTAATCTTTCCTAGCAACATAAAAATTGCACCGAACTTTACCTCTCGGCCGATTAGCTTCACCCACACTTTGTCTCCGACATCTACTATCTCAGAGGGCTTATCCACACGGCAGGATGACATGTGAGTTCTATGGACCAGACCTGGGAACAAAAAGAAGAAATAAGATGCAGTACAGGGCATGTCTGGTATTTATATTCTAATTAATAAAGTAAGGAGATGATGGGAATTGGGGATTCATTGATATCTTTCATTTAAAACTGTAATTTAGGGCCTCCCCGGTGGCGCAGTGGTTGAGCGCTGGGTTGCGAAGCTGCCCGCAGCCTCTGCAGCGCCAGTTCGATCCCCAGCTGCTCCCTGGCCACCAGAGGAGGGTCCCGCATGGCTCACAGACCTCCCCTGCTGCCCGCTGCTCCCCTCAGCAGTGTACTTCAGTCTGCCTACTCTGCTCCCTGCTCTGGCTCTGGTGAATTCTCTCGCCCTCCCGCACTTCTGAATGTACCCAGTGCTTGCATAAATAAATAAATAAATAAATAAATAAATAAATCTTAAAAAAAAAAAAAAATCTGCACTACTTATAAAAAAATAAAACTGTAATTTAAAACAGTTTGAGATTGTTTTTATACCTAACCAACAAATATTCTTTAAATAATACTCAATGTTAGTAAAGATGTGATATAACAAATATATAATACTGGTAAAAATACAAGTTGGTAAAATTCTTTGAAAGCAAAGGGCATAGAGATCTTTATATCTTTGATGCAAAAATATCATGTTGAATTTTTCCAAAAGAAAAAATTCAATACAAGTAAAAGTCTGTGAACATAAAAAAAATTTGCAGTATTATAACCTACAATTTTTTAAAACTATACTACTACTTCAATGACCGATAATTGAAAGCAGCTTGGTAAACTATGGTAAATCTATCAAATGAAAGAGTAAGCAACTATTTAAAATAGTTACAGGAAATAATTATGATAGAAAGTGAATAAAGAAAATATAGACAAAATGTTATTTTCACTCTATTAGCAAAATATTTAGAAGCTAACATAACCTAATATTAGTAAAATAAGAAATATTGCTACTTAGTGAAATTTTTAGAAATCATTTTTAGCAATGTCTAACAAGAATGTCACAAATATTTAAATTTAAAATTAATTATTAAATTATAGAATTATAAAACAATTGAATAAAATATTTAAAATAAACGTTCTTTTCATGTCTACCCAAGGTCCTTAGGAAAACCACCTTACATTCTAAAATAATCTGCTCCATTCATGTGACTTTGGTTGTAGCTAACCGAACTCTCAAGTGTGGGCACATGATGCAGTCAGTCAATCAAGGTACTCCATCCCTGGCCACAGTCATGGACTGGGTCAGGGTCAGACACAGTCACTAAATTAAATCACCCTTCTTAAGACTTTTTTCAGGATTATAAACTATGAAAAATTATCAATTCCCATTTTTACCAAGGTGGCAAGAGACAACCAGAGGGAAGAGGACCAACAATAGATAGTCCTGATGTTATAAACAGCACTATGAATGAAGCTGGATTTATGCGACCCAAGCCAGTCAATTGGCCAAAGTTAATCTGGACTGTGTTTCTGTTCCTTGAAGCTAACAGTTCTGACTAATCTCTGACTAATAACTAATTTGATCCATATTATTTGTGGGAATTTGTATGAGACAATAATCTCATCTATAAGAAAAGCTCTATGCATTCAGGAAAGTGACCTACATCAAAATACTCAATATAGTTCCTTTTTTTTTTTTTAAGTATTTTTCTTAATTTATTTTTATTTAATTATGCATACAAGAACTGGGGTGTAGGCCAGAGGTGGGGGAGGTGAGAGGAGTCACCACTGACAGAGAGGGGAGCAGAACAGGCAAATCTACTGAAATACACTGCTGAGGGGAGCAGCGGGTGAGACAGGAAAGGTCTGCTGCACCATATGTAAGTTAGCTTCCAGGCCATAGTGGATAGCGCTGAGACTTAAGCCCTAGGCCATAAGGGAGACCCCTATTCAATATATTTCTATGACAAAAAAATGAGAATTAATTTAATATCCAAAAATAAGGTAATTGTTTAGTTATGGCATAGCATGGTATAAAAACAAAGTTCAAAAGATTATGTAAAAACATGTGAATACTCCTTCTTTAGTAAATATTTATTGAGTGCTTATTTATGTGTCAAACACTGTAGGTAACTAGCATTTTCCAGAGTAAATCACCAAATAATGACACAAAATTGTATAGTATGATTACAAATACTTAAAGCAAATTCTAAAAATTAGAAATGATCCAAAATGTTATAACAATGGTTATTTATCCTAAGTTAGATTACAAGTTAATTTTTATTTTACTTATTTTCCAATGTTGTAATAATAGAGAAAATTATATGTCTTTGGGGGGAAATGAATACAATAAACAATTATTTTGAAAGAACATAGATCAGGAATCTAAACCAAAGGAAAAAACTGGTAAGTAAAACAAAAATTGATGTCAAATGTAAATACCCTCCCTGAAATTGCTTAGAATTATTAACCTTTATTTTTTTCCTCTCAATTTCTCTCCCACCACATGCATCTTCAGGGATGTCTGCACACCTTTATGATTTAAAGTACCTGCCCTTTCTGTGTGGAACTCCAGCTGGAAGTCCATGCTTTCTCTGACCACAGTCACTGGGTTTCACATACCTACTTCACATACCTACCTTAAAATTTTGGAGGCTGATAGCCTATCTCTCTGAATAACTATGGGGCCTCCAACATTTTTTCTATCAATATAAAATATATATTCCACATCTTTAACTTAACATAATCGCCAAATTCTGTAAAATTCATGAAGTTAGACCTCTTACTCCCCCCATACCCTGTGATAGTTTATTTAATGAGCTGACTAGTCAAATTGAAACTTAGAGGGAAAATTCAGATTCCTGTTCATATAATCTCACCCTAGAAAGAAGAATGATACAATCAATTAGATTTTAGTATCTTAAATTACAATTTTATCCCTTTCCCCTGGAATTATACCCAGATTTTTTTTTTCAAAGTCTTGAGTGCTCCCATTTCTTCCGTCACAGATTTACAGATAATTACTTGGCATATTTCTATCAATGGCTAATCTCATACTCTATATGAAGGATTCATCACTAGTTTTACCATCAGAAGACAGTCTGAATTCTTGGAAGGTAGTTTATTGTTATCCAAATACACCAACAGGAGTTGGATTAAATGTATATGACAGAGGGCACCCAAAAAAAATTTGAGGCCCCCTCACTCTGTACCTCACTAGACATAGGATAGTTACAGATTCATTTAATCCTCACATCAACCCTATGACATAGGTTCACATGAGGAAATAGCCTAGAATTAAAGAAAATGGTCCAAGGTCACAAAGCTGATAAAGCAAGAACTGTAATTTAAATATGTGTCTGTGACGTCTCCTATATTGTACTATATTTTTTCCTTTTATCATTAATCTGTGTTATCTTTCCAGTTAAAAAAAAGAAAAGATTATTTCCTCACAATAGTGGAAACACGTCTAATTCTGTTATAACAAATGCTCTAAACCAAAACAGAAAGAATACTTTGCTCATCATGCCACACGGAAGGGAACAATTTGTGCTTGCATTTCTGACATTAAGCCATAAATGCCCAAAGGGAATATCAAGTCCATCAAAATGTTCAATAAACCCAACATGACATTTAAACAGAAAGAGTCCTATATCAATGTATGCTGGAAAAGAAAAAAAAAATTCTCACAACTTTGAAACACCTAGCATCATAATCACCATGAGGAAAACAGAGGTAGCCTAGTACAGTTACCTTAAAAATATTCTCCCAACTCTGTTAAGTTCAACATTAATTTTTTTTTTACATCTTGATAATAAAGGAAAGAGACAAATATATAACAAATTAGAGGACAGCAGCAGCCAAGATTGTCAAAAAGTCTCCTTTACACTTGAGGAACCTGAATTCCCTCTTTAACTCCAATCAATGGTATGTGACAATAAAGCAAGCACATTACTCTTGCTGGAATTATGGATTCATTCAAACACTTACTAGACATTCACTAAGTTGTAGCAAAAATGGATCCAAGGATAAGATGTTGGACAAGAAACTCTAAAATATGCACATTATTCCCATTTTACAGATACAGAAACTAAGGTACAAGGACTAAGTAGTTTTCTAGAGTGAAGAAAATAGTAAATGGTGGAGCTGGGACTAGAATTCATTTAATAAGATTTACTGGCTATCCACTATACCTCAGGCACTGTACTAGGCCCTGACACTCCACCAGCAGTATATTAACTGTAAACCTTGCAATATGAATCTCTTCCACTTCACTGTTCCTGATTGTATCCTTTACCAGTAAACATAAGGAAAAGGTCTTCCTTGGTTCTGTCAGCCATTAGATCAAGTTATCAAATTTGAGGAGGGGGTCATCAGAACCTTTGATTCAGAATTAGTCAGAGGTGGTGGTATGAACTAGTCAGAACAGGTGGTATGGGACTTGCAACTGGCATCTAAAGTGACAACAGTCTTGTGGGACTGAGCTCCTGTAACTTGTGGGATATGATACTAACTCCAGGTAGATGGTGTCAGAAATGAATTGTCAGACTCCCAATTGGTGTCCAGAGAATTAGAGAACTGGTTAGTGTCAGAAACACACCAGAAAAGATATAAAACTTATCTTTCATCACCTGAAGTTCTGCTGGACAACACTAGGGGAGTGGAAAGCAGATCTAGTTTATATCTGAACAGTAGGAAAGGACCTCAGTACAGGTTAAAGAATTCTGAGAAAAGAAATCTGAGAAAAATAACTCAAATTAGAATTTACTTCTTGAATCAAAAATGCTAAAATCTGGAAATCAGACATTTTATAACTCAGTCCTTTCACAGTGGGACTTTAAGGATAGAGACGCTACAATACATTATAGGACAACTGCTCATCAACTTTCTGTCTCTCTGAAAGTCACCTGCTCAGGTAATCCAATAAATCTACCGAAGTGCCCAAGATTAGAATTCACAGAGCTTCCACCTAATTATTTGGTTTCCTGAGTTCTCCCTTCAAGACTTGTCTCAGCACAGGTGTCAGGCTGATAGATTTGCTTGTAAGCTTGGCGGCACAATCTGAGGCATCAGGTGACAGGGTATGGACTCCAGTGAGTTGAAGACTGACTGCTGGAAGGTGGCGGCCTTTAATCCCCACATAGTCCCCAAAGTGTCACAAAAATGCTCAAGTAAGGATGAGTCTTTCAGGTACTGGCAGCTATGGCAAGTACACTAACAAGAAAATCTGTCTTCAAACTAAAAGAGGTACATGCCCTATAAGGATGGGGATGAGTTCCACCTCATTAATTCCCAGCCAACATAAAATCAGAAACTTTATTACAGATTGCTGACTGCTAGCTTGGAAATTACTGGCAAGCCATTTCTAATGGTGTAATTTGCAGCATAGTAGTCTCCAAGACTAGAGGCATGCATTTATTATCCAAAGACCAGATGTTGGACTTTTTTAAAGAAAATTTTTTTTAAAAAAATTGCAAAAAGTAAGGGGGTTGTAATTGTATGGGGAATATAAAAATAAAATTTAAAAAAAAAATTGCAAAAAGTGTGGGCCTCCCCTGATGGCGCAGGCGGTTGAGCGCCGCGCTGTGATGCTGTCCACAGCCTCTGCAGCACTGGTTCGATCCCAGCCGGCTGGCGATAATGCCACATGGCATGGCAGACCTCTCCTGTCTCGCCTGCTGCTCCCCTCAGCAGTGTATTTCAGTCACTCTGCCTGTTCTGTTCCGTGCTCTGTCCCTGGTGAATCCTCTCACCCTCCCGCGCATCTGGCCTGTACCCTGGTTCTTATATGCATGAATAAATAAATCTTAAAAAAAAAAATTGCAAAAAGTGAAAGTCCTGGGCCTCTCTGGTGGCACAAGGGTTGTTAAGCTGCAACCTATGAAGCTATCTGCAGCCATTGAAGCATGAGTTCGATCCCTGGCCAGGGAGCTACCCACACGGTGCAGAGCAGACGTCTCCTGACTCGCCCACTGCTCCCCTCAGCAGTGTATTTCTGTGGATCTGCCTGTTCTGCTCCCTACTCTGTCTCTGGTGAATCCTCTCATCACCCCCCTCCCATCCGGCATCTCTGGCCTATACTCCAGTTCTTGTATGCATAAATAAATTAAAAAAAAAAAATCTTTTTTTTTAAAAAAAGATGTTATAAGTGGTTTAAAAATTTTTTTAATTTAAAAATTTTAATTTTTAAAAAATTTTTAAAAATTTTCACATGTAGATGAAAGAAATAATGTGTAGAAATCCTGTGTGCCCTCATTCTTCACCCAATTTCCTCCAATGGTAACATCTTGCAAAAACAATTAGTACACTATAACAACCAGGAAATCACAGTGATACTGCTGTACTACAATCTACAGGTGAGATATATATGTTTGGCTACAATACTACTTTCATTCCATGTGTCATAACCAGGAAACTCACAATGTCAGTCTCAGAAAATAGCTCATTCTCCCACAAACCCTAAGACTAAAGAAATCAAATGATTTGCCCAGAGTCACAGGTGAAATCTGAGGTGGAGCTAGTTCCAGAAATGAACCCAAGTAGCTATACCCCAACCGTCCCCCCAAGTCAGACACCACTATTCTTCTGAATCAAGACCTGCTAAAAATAAACTGTAATCACTTGTCTCTACTCTTCTTTCTATAGTAAAAAATAAAAACAAAATTACTGCCTATAATTAGGATGGAGTGGCAGTGACAGCAGACAGTGTGAAATGGGAGGACTGAATTTCAAGTTACAGGCTCCTACCTTGTTTCCGACAGCCTGGGATTTTGATAAAGGCTCCATAGTCTGTCACCATAGCAACCTGTAAAGACAAAAAAAAAGAAAAGAACATGTCACACAAATGAAAATCTCTCTTCTATAAAATTTAACGTAGTCTCCCTAAATTTCAACTTTGTACTGACTGCTACTGTCTGCTGCAAAACTGCCTAAATATGATGTTCTGTCAAACATTCTGGGTTTTGTGTTATTTTTTAGTTTAGACTAATCGACACAAGTGAACACAAGAAAAACACTGATGAGATTGAATTGCTGTTGACTAGTATGACAGTACTCAGAAATATACAAACCCCACACTTCCTGAAACCCCCTAACAGGTATAAGAACAAAGGGAACAAAGAGCAGAAAATCAGGTAATAAAATTATACTTTACAGTAGCTAGAATGAGGCTTCCACAACACAGAACATTAATTTGTGATGGGACATCTAGGACATCCCTCCTTCCTGAATTTCAAATTAAGTCAGACCCTACAGCCTGCTCTATTTCACTCCAAAGCAGAGTCTTAGGTTTTTATCAAGACAATTAGAGAAAAATTCAATACATGGACAGAAGTTGAAATAATCAGAAAAAAAGAGTTGTCCTCAAGAATTCTTAAGAGTGACCCAAGATGTAGAAGTGAGAGAACTGATGTGTCTGTGTACCTTATACAAGTGTCAATAAAAGGCCCAGGTTCCTCATCAAGTAAATCATTATCCCAAACCCTGTCTCTCCTTCCTTCTATCCTCCAGCCCACTCCCCTACCTACGGATTAGGATAGATTTAATTTAGTGACATTATATCACTAAATTCATTATTATCTTCCGAAAATATTCAATACACTCTTACACATATAAACGTTATCCTTTCTTTTCAATAATTTTAATTAGTGGTTTACTTTTGTGCAGTCACTGTTTTAGCTTCACCATAACTAAAGCAAGGGAACAGAATAAGACAATCCCTATTGTACCACTGTTCAGTAGTATATAGTGAACATGTAACAGGGTGGTCCCCAAGAAAGGGGGAGGTTCCCTGCCCCACCCAAGGGAGGGTGGAGCTGAGCAGGGAGAGGAGAAGCTGAAGAGGTGACTGAGGAAGGAAGGAAGCAGGATGGAGCCAGAAGGAGACCTGGAGGAGGCGCATGGAGCCTAGAGACACGTGAAGAAACTGCGCTTGTCTTTTGGTCGTGGACTGGGGTGAGACCCATGGGGAGGTGACAATGGCAGCTTTTATCTTGATGTTGATTTTGCTCTTTTCCTTCCGGGCTTGTCTGTTTGTTTCTGACCCATTTCTGTGGGTCCCCACTCACTGGAAGATGCTTTAGACTTGTGACAGGCTTTGGGGCCTTGTTCTGGGCCAGTCCCATTTGGATGGACTTTTACCCACGAGGGGACGGGTAACTTTGGGTGCTTCATTTAGAAACTAGATTCTTTGCCTTTCCTGTATTGTTTCCTAGTTGTATTAAAGTTCCTTCCCATTAAAGTCTCATATGTTTTGTGTTGATGTGATGGATGACAGAAACCATTTAGAATAGGCAGGTTTGCGGGGTTTGGGCTGCCCCTCTCCCTGTCCTATAACAAACATATGCAAAACACTATTCAAAGTGCTTTACATAATCCTCATGAATGATATTGGTACTATTATTATTCTTATGTGATAGATGACAAAACTGTTAGGTGGAGAGACTAAAGGTAGTAAACAGCAGAACTGGGATTTGAAACCAGGAAATCTTAACTATAATAAAGCTGCTCAGGGTTGCCTTTAACTATAAAATTTTGTCAGACAGAAGCAATGTAACATTTGGTATCTTGTTTGCTCTTGAGAATACTCTCAGGAAGTATAGATGGTAGGCCCCATGTGGCAGATGAGGGGAAACACAGGTGTAGAAAGAACACAGTGAATTAAAAGACGTGGCTTCTAATCCCTGCTCTGCCACCTGTCTTACTGCTGTCTCTTATACACGATTTCACTTTCAGGGCCTAAATTCCCATTTGTTCTCATTTTGCTTCTGCAGATAACAAATGATGTACATAAGTACGTGGGACTGGTATCTGGTACACAGTGTACACTCAATAAATTATAGCTTTTTAGTAATTTACAGTCCAGACACTAAAGCACAAAAGAGTGAGTGACTAGTGGAAAAGCATACAACTACTTCAGATACAAGCTAAGCACAAAACTCAGGTCCCTCGACTCATAGTTCAGAAGCTTCCTTCTTCACCGGCTATCACCATTATTTACTTCAATTTTATGACAGAAATAGAGGAAACTTTCATTCTCCTTATTTTTTTTTTTTTTAAGATTTATTCATTTGCTTATTTATTTATTTATTTATACAAGCACTGGGTACAGTCAGAAGCGCGGGAGGGTGAGAGAATTCACCAGAGCCAGAGCGGGGAGCAGAGCAGGCAGAAGGACCGAAGTACACTGCTGAGGGGAGCAGCGGGCGGCAGGAGAGGTCTGCGCGCCATGTGGGACCCTCCTCCAGTGGCCGGGGAGCAGCCAGGGATCGAACCGGAGCTGCAGAGGCTGCGGGCAGCTTCACAACCCAGCGCTCAACCGCTGCGCCACCAGGGAGGCCCTCATTCTCCTTATTTTTAATGGTCACTTGAACTAACTCTACAGGATACACTGCATTAAGAATAGGCCTCCCTGGTGGCAGAGGAGGTTAAGCCACTGCAGCACAAGTTCTATCTCTGACTGTTATAGGACAGGGAAAGGGGCAGCCCAAACCCCTCAAACCTGCCTATTCTAAATGGGTTCTGCCATCCGCCGCATCAACACAAAACATAGGAGACTTTAATGGGAAGGAACTTTAATACAACTAGGAAACAATACAGGTAAGGCAAAGAGTCTAGTTTCTAAATGAAGCACCCAAAGTTACCCATCCCCTCGTGGGTAAAAGTCCATCCAAATGGGATTGGCCCAGAACAAGGCCCCAAAGCCTGCTACAAGTCTGAAGCGTCTTCCAGTGGGGACCCACAGAAAAGGGTCACAAACAACCAGACAAGCCCGGAAGGAAAAGAGCAAAATCAACATCCAGATAAAAGCTGCCATGGTCACCTCCCCACGGGTCTCACCCACATCTGTGTCACCCAGTCCACGACCAAAAGACAAGCACAGTTTCTTCACGTGTCTCTAGGCTCCACGCGCCTCCTCCAGGTCTCCTGGCTCCATCCTGCTTCCTTCTTTCCTCAGTCTCTTCTGCAGCTTCTCCTCTTGCTGCTCAGCTCCACCCTCCCTTGGGTGGGGCAGGGAACCTCCCCCTTTCCTGGGGACCACCCTGTTGCAATCCCCCCTTTTAATTTTTATTCCACCATATCTATGGTGGCACAGATCTTATGGTGTAATTTTAGGAGACAGTCTTTTTTTGGGGACCACCCTGTTACATGACCAGGAGTTAACCCACAGGGCGCAGCAAACCTCTTCTGTCTCTTTGGCTGCTCCCCTCAGCAGTGCATTTCCGTTAATCTGTCTGTTCTGCTCCCCACTCTGTCTCTGGTGAATCCTCTCACCCTCCTGTACCTCTGGCCTACACCCCAGCTCTTGTATGCATAAATAAATAAAATAAATCTTTAAAAAAAAAGGTTAAGAACTAAATGGTCTAAATTCCTATTTTACATTGATAAATATGCTATGCTGGGGATGAGACCAGTTATTCCCAAAGAAAGAGTACAATTGGGCAGATACTACTACTTAAAACCAAGGCAGGTTGGGACTGGAGCAAGGACTTTATAGATTAGCTGGCCCAATTTTGTCATTTTTCAAAAGAAAAAAGTGAAAATCAGAGACACAAACTGTTTCTATAAGTTTACAGAGCAAGTTGTTCTATGTAAATAACAGGGCCACATGGATAAAGATAAGGCTTAAAATTTTAAAATAGAACTTAAAAGCAAATCCCTTCTCTCTGGACTCTGACTGGCTTTTGCTCTAGGGTTCTAGAAAGAGGGCTAAGATGCCTCAAATTGTATAACAACATTATTAAAGGGAATAATTATCTAACAAACTTAAATGTAGCATCTGGAAATTGGAAACTAAATCACCTTACTACTGTAAATTAAGACAATCTCACTTTGCAATCCTGATGCTCCAGTGTCACATTATGGTCTTCTGAGGAAATATCATGACAGACCTTAATTTGGCCTTTCCCAAAAGGAAAGGTTAATGTGCTCCAGAATGGATGCACTCAACCGCTCAGTTAAGAAAAGGCATTCTTGATTATTTCCAGCACCAGGTGTTTCCATCACTGTGTCTCCTAGGGTGCAGTCCAGAGTTGAAATTAACAGAATGGCACCTGCCATAGATTATCACACAGTTGGTCTGGAGTCCCCAGAATAATTAGTCAAATAGCGTAGGGGAAACAATTCAGTAATTTTCTCAACTGAACTAAGAGCGTGAGGAAAACGAATTTACCATCTTCAGATTAGAGGCTGCATTGGCCTTGACACTAGCTATTTTCAAAATGTAAATGAGGAACCTGAGGTTCAGACATGCATTATTTGTCCAGTCACAGTTAGAAAGTAGCATGGCGACATAAAACTTCAGTTGTTTTACTTCTAGTCTGGTGCTATTTTCATTTACCAATACCAGCCTCCCTCTAGCATTTTTTGGGCTGTGGGTAGGCTGAGCCAAATCCCAGCTCCCACTGCTGCTTGTACCCGCTCCCATGCTTAATGGACTCTAGCACCGAGATGCCTCTCAGAGGATGAGAGATAGATGAATATTGGCCTCTCAGCTATTCAATCACCGGATCCCCCACCCCTGCTGAGCCTGCTAAGAGTAGAAATGCTAGGATATAGGCTACACTATCAGCTTTTTCAAGGACAACTGGTCCTAAAAGGGTTGGGTTTAATAAATATTTTCTGAGCACCTATATGCAATATGCCATGAAAAGGTACTGTGAAGTAAAACTTAAGATATGCCCAGCACATTTTAAAATGAATTTCAAGCAGTTACCGAGAAATATGAGACCATGCCTCTGCTCTCCAGATTGACTTACTTACAATCTAGTGGAGGAGACAGCCACATACACAAGTAACAATAATCCAAGACAGACTATGATAAATACCACAAAGAGATAGAAATGACTGTGGAACAACCAGATTTACCATCTATCTTCCTCTTATATTTCAATTTAGTCAAAAGAGTTCCCTTATGGATCTTCTGGGTTCTTCCCACACTTATATACAATTGGATAATTTTAGCTACAGTATAGCAGACTTGGACTAGACTTGGAGAGAGGACTTGATTAAGAATCTCAGCTTCACTATTCAGTAAATTATATAACTTTTAAAAAACTTCTCTAAAAGTTTCATTTTCTGGGCCTCCCTGGTGGTGCAGGGGTTAAAGTCTCAGTGCTATTAAGATATTGCCAGCCACTAGGGCATGAGTTTGATCCCTGGCCAGAGAGCTAACCCACATGGCACAGCAGACCTCTCCTGTCTCACCTGCTGCTCCCCTCAGTGTATTTCCATGAATCTGCCTGTTCTGCTCCCCACTCTCTTTGGTGAATCCTCTCACCCACCGCACCTCTGGCCTACACCCCAGTTCCTGTATGCATACATAAATAAAAATAAATCTTAAAAAAAAGTTTCATTTTCTATAGAATGGGGTTAACAATTTCTTTGTAGAGGGTCAATTACATAGAATATGTACTGACATACATTAGGAATACCAACATCTTTTGAATTTTAATGTAATAGGGTCTTCTCTAAATATTGTGCACTCATTAAATGTATGCTAGATAAATGTTCTGAAAAATAGTTTCTTTCTAAGTTGTTAATAAAAATTAAGTTGTTAATAAAAGTTGTTAATAAAAATTTTCTTTTAATTGTTCAAGTAAATTCTAAACATTATTTTTCAAAATGTGCTCCTGAAATACTAAGCTAGAACTATAAAGTTTTCCTAACTTTATCCTAGTCGATCTGTTAATAGTAAAACATAAAACCTACACTAATTTAAGTCCCATTTCAAACAAGAAAAAGCTGGGACTGACATATACTTTGGAGGGACAGGAAGATCAAATCAAGAGGAGACATCAAGATGATGTCCAAATTTCTGAATGAATATTTCATTTGAAAGGTGGAAAAAACTAAATGAACAGATTTGGTAAAATTAAAAATTCATTCAAAAACATTCAAAAAACAAATTAGAGGTGCAGTGAGATATCTAAATGAAGATGTCAAGTACACAGCTAGAAAGAAGTCTGGAGTCTAGAGGAGGTACATGAAGTAGACAGATGCTTCACTAGTCCTTTCCATTTAGACTATAATGCTCAAAATATTAAGCAGATAGGAGCTCCAAACCCAGCTGCTTTTCACCTTCATAATCTATGCTTAACATAAATGGTGGGTTTTCAAAACACAAAATATACCTCTCCTTGGAAAATAGTGTAGAGAGCAGGCAAGTTTTCCATGGTCTCAGGTCTTCCTGAATTCATCCTTAATGTTCTATGGTTCCTCCATTTCTTTCCTGGCAAAGTTAATTCAAATGTCCTGTCACAAAGAAAGAAGACAGACAATAGTTAGATACCTGCATTCAAGAAATCTGTAGAAAATCCACAGCTAGTCTCTACAGAATACAGATTTAACGCTATGTATTTTTACCCAAATCTTCTTTGTTCACGCTTTTTTTTTTAAAAAGATTTATTTATTTATTTTATACAAGAACTGGGGTACAGGCCAGATGTGCAGGAGGGTGAGAGGATTCACCAGACAGAGCAGGGAAGAGAACAGGCAGACTGACTGAAATACACTGCTGAGGGGAGCAGCGGGAGAGACAGGAGAGGTCTGCCCTGCCATGTGGGACTCTCGCCTGCTGGCCAGGATGGAACTGGCGCTGCAGAGGCTGCAGACAGCTTCACAGCGCAGTGCTCAACCGCCTGCGCCACCAGGGGAGGCCCTCCTTTGTTCACTCTTAATTGTGCAGTTTTGGAAACCTTGATCTTATTTCCCTTTAATTTGTTACTTGCCCAAAGCCACTGGTCTACTTTTTCATCTTGTTTTAATTGCTAAAAGTCAGTGGAAGTCTTTTAAGACATGTGTGAAAGGATCATGAGAATGGATTTTTTTAAATAGCAATGAGAGCTAACATTTATCAAGTAGTTACCATGTCCAGACTGAGCACTAACCATCCAAAATTTCATTTAACCTTCAAAATTCTCATGATGTAGATTCTACTCTTGTGTAGAAAAGAAAACTTGGATTTCTAGAGGTCAAATTACTATGCTTATATCAAGAAATGGAGTCAAATTCTGGCTGACACCAGGGTCCACATATTTAATGGCTATAATAGGCATTAAATCTGAAGTAACGTCAAAGAGAAAACAGTTTGCCTTTTTTTCTGAAAAACTGAAACACACATGCTCACTTTCAAAGTTCATATAACACTTGAATAATGAAGAAAAATCATCCATCAATTTGATTTGCTTTTATATTACATGCAGAAGTAGTTTTTTAATGGAATCATAAAATTAATCATTACAAACACACCTTATTTTATTACACTTCACTACTGTGTTTTTTTTACAAACTGAAGGCCTGTGGTAATCCTGTGTTCAGCAGGTCTATAGGTGCCATTTTTCTAACAGCATGTTCTTATCTCATGTCAGTTGCATTTTGTAAATTCTCCTAATATTCATTCTATCTGTAAGGGTGATCTGTGATTAGTGATCATTGATGTTACTATTGTAACTGTCTTGGGGCACCACAGACCTCACCCATAAAAGTCAATGAATAAATGTGTGTTCTGACTGCTCCACCAACCAGACATTCCCGTCTCTCTCCCCAGGCCTCCTTATTCCCTGAGACATAATATTGTAATTAGCCCAATTCATAATCCTACTATTGCCTCTAAGTTTTGTAGAGAAAGGAAGACATAGATCTCTCACTTTTTTTTTTTTAAATTAATTTATTTATTTATACAAGCACTGGGTACAGTCAGAAGCGCGGGAGGGTGAGAGAATTCACCAGAGCCAGAGCGGGGAGCAGAGCAGACAGAAGGACCGAAGTACACTGCTGAGGGGAGCAGCGGGCGGCAGGAGAGGTCTGCGCGCCATGTGGGACCCTCCTCTGGTGGCCGGGGGCAGCCGGGGATCAAACCAGCGCCGTGGAGGCTGCCGGCAGCTTCGCAACCCAGCGCTCAACCGCTGCGCCACCGGGGAGGCCCCAGATCTCTCACTTTAAATCAAAGGATGGAGTTGATTACACTTAGTGAAGACAGCATGTAGAAAGCCGAGATCAGCTGAAAGCTGGGCTTCTTTAAAGAGTTAGCCAAGTTGTGAATGCAAGGGAAAAGTTCTTGAACAAAATTAAAAGTACTACTTCAGAGAGCACATAAATGATAAGTGTAACAGCCTTATTGCAGATATGGATATTTAGTGATCTGGATAGAAGATCAAACCGGCCACAACATGCCCTCAAGCTAAAGCCTAATCCAGAGCAAAGCCCTAACTCTCCTCAATTCTATGTAGTCTGTGAGAGGGGACCAAGCCACATAAATTTGAGGCTAGCAGAGGTTAGTTTCTGAGATGTACGGAAAGACACTGTCTCCATAACACAAAAGTACAAGGTGAAGCAGCAAGCACTGATATAGAAGCTGCCGTCAGCTATTCAGAAGATTGAGCTAAAATCATTGAAGGTGGCCACACTAAACAACAGATTTTCAATGCAGATGAAATAGCATTATATTGGAAAATGCCATCTAGGACTTTTTTGTTGGTTACATAAATTAACCCATTTATTATATGCTAGCAATGTTTCAAATAGTGGCACTTCCACTGGTCTTCCAGTGCTTTCAGTCTTCTGATGGCAGACTTTACTGTGGCAGCAGAAGTGGTGTTGCAGGTCCAGGTACCACCAGGTAGTTTTCATGCAGGAACCACAGAGCCAGATCACCGCAGCTCGTCTCTTCATCTTAGGTTTGCCACAGAAGGAACAGTGGTGGCTGATTTCAATTTTCTTCACCATTTTCCTGAGGGAAGCAACATAATGGGGGCCCTATTCACAAACAATCCTGACCTTGGTGTTTTTGGCCAAACACGGTCCAAGCGCAGAGAGCCATCTAGTTAGTACTTTTTTTTTTCAAAGATCTATTTATGTATCCAAGAGCTAGGGTGCAGGCCAGAGGCCCAGGGATGAGAAGATTCACCAGAGACAGAGTGGGGAGCAGAACAGACAGATCTACTGAAATACACTGCTGAGGGGAGCAGAGGGCAAGACAGGAGAGGTCTGCTGTGCCATGTGGGTCAGCTCCCTGCCTGGGGTTCAAACTCAAGCCACAATGGCTTCTGATAGCTTCACAGCGCTGAGATTTTGCACCACCAGGGAGGCCTACTCATCCAGTACTTTCACAGATACCAGATGCTTAGCCTTAAAGGACAGGTTGACTCTCTTGTTGGGGGGAAACATAGCTGACAACTTTAAGTTGAAACCAGAGCTCATTTGCCATTCTAAAAACCCCAGAGTCCTTAAAAATTATGCTAAATCTTCTCTGCCTGTGGTCTGAGAAAACAAAGTTTGGATGACAACCCATCTGTTTACAATGTGGTTTAGTGACTATTCTAAGCCTACTGTTGAGACCCATTACTGAGAAAGATTGCTTTCTAAGTAGCCTATTCACTGACAATGCACCTGGTCATCCAAGAGTTCTGATGGAGATGTATGAGTAAATTAATGTTGTTTTCACACCTACTAACACAATATCCATCCTGCAGTCCATGAATCGACGAGTAATTTTTACTTTTGAGGGTTATTATTTAAAAAATACGCTTTGGTAAGACTATAGCTGCCATAGATAATTATTTCTCTGATGATACTGGGCAAAATCAATTGAGAACCTTCCATAAAGGGGGCCTCCCTGGTGGCGCAGCGGTTGAGCGCTGGCTTGCGAAGCTGCCCGCCGGCCTCTGCAGCGCCGGTTCGATCCCCGGCCACCGTGTGAGGGTCCCACATGGCGCGCAGACCTCTCCTGCCGCCCGCTCCCCTCAGCAATGTACCTCGGTCCTTCTGCCTGCTCTGCTCCCCGCTCTGGCTCTGGTGAATTCTCTCACCCTCCTGCGCTTCTGACTGTACCCAGTGCTTGTATAAATAAATAAAAATAAATCTTTAAAAAAAAAAAAAACAAAAACTTACTGTAAAAAAAAAAAAGAGAACCTTCCATAAAGGATTCACCACTCTAGATGCCTGTAGGGTAAGGTAAAAAGTATCAGGCTTTTCTGCCCTCCCGCCATTAGGATAGATGACGGAACCCTGTGGTCGCGAATGCATGCCTGATGGCGGGCACCTGGAGTAGGGTTTGGGCGTATGTAGATGGGATTCACCTGGCCTGAGACTGGGCTTATAAGGGTGGCATCACGGGGACGCCAGCAGAGAACAGAACTACCAGAAGCAAGAGGGAAGAGCGAACCAGAGCAGAGACACGAGAGAAGTAGAGAGAACACGAGAGAACGCTGGAGAGCCCAGAAAGAGTGAAGACTTGCTGGGGGCAGGCCTCTGCCTGCACCCCTGCCTGCTGTGTACCTGGTAAACCCCAATAAAAGCCTGAAAAGCCACTGAGGGCTCCAGGACTCTTTCCTCCTTTACTCCATCTGCTCGGGTCATAGAAAACCTGCTCCGTGTCTTCCTGCCCCTTACATTTGGTGTAAGTCGGCAAGATGATCCATGCAGACTGGTATGGAGTTCTCCAAAGACCTCAGGAGGGACTGAGGAGTAGTGGACTGAGCCTGTGACAACACTGGAGGCACATGGCCGCACAGGAGATGGACAAGGTCCAGGAGCTGCAGGATGAAACCTCGCCTGGAGGAGACGGCCTGCGAGGACCAGCCAACGACCCCTGAGGCAGCAGAATCGTTGGCGAAGAAAGGACCATGATTCAGAGCTCGCCAGTGCTGATGCAGGAAGAGGCCAACGGACTTGGGCTAATGGAGTTGGACTGACAATCCCATCAGAAGGCGGAGGAACCTCGGCAGGTTGTTACATTTTGGGGGCCCTGGGGGTGGATGGTATCATTTGTAAACCCCAGGAGATGGGAATCAGGGGGTTGCCAGTGGGCCTCAGTGGCCAAAAGCAGCCTGTATACTGCCCAGCAGCTAGGCAGAGGAAAAAAGCCAGCTAAGAAAGGCAAAAGTTGGTGCTGAGATTTGGAAGCCCTAAGTGGCTCTTAAGCAGTAAATATGTTGAAGGCCAGTGAGTCTGTTAAAATCACCTGTGGGTGATGCCCTGCTCACGGTTGAGTGAGGGTGAGTTGTTGAGGAACTTGTTCTTGGGGGATGGGTGGGGAACATGGCTTGTGGTGGAGCTCACAGCCAAAGAGGGGACTCAAGAGAGGCCACATGTGGAGCTGGTATCCACAGATCCCCAACCCATGTGCTTGTGCAATGGATTGGCCTGAGTGCAGGGGACTGCGTGTCGCATTGGCGGCTATGAAAGCCGAGTGTTGGAATGACCAAGGACAGAATCCTGAGGGTTGGGCGATTACCCCCAACAGTACAGAACCGCCAATCCAAGAGTGAGTGCATCCTGGGGGTGGATGCAGTGTGTGGCTTGTGGCCAAGACCACAGCCAGAGAAGGCCAGGAAGCCTGAAGGCTCCTGGTTTGAGAAGGCAGATGCCTGAGTGGTTCCCCTCTCTCGAATGAGCAGTGCCTTTGGCAACAGAAGTGGTGGCTCATCTGCTGGTGCCAATAATCTTGCCTTTTGCCACTAGGTTGGTGTCCTGCCTGGACTTATTTGTGTTCTGTTGTATTTTGTTATATTGTGATGTATTTCATTTGCTTTTGTGGGCCATGGCTGCAGTGTTCATATTGCCAAGAGAAACGTATATAACTTGTATATAAACTGCTATAGACTGTATGACAGAAAACCCTGAAAGGGGCCTCCCCGGTGGCGCAGCGGTTGAGCGCTGGGTTGCGAAGCTGCCTGCGGCCTCTGCGGCGCCGGTTCGATCCCCGGCTGCTCCCGGTCACCGGAGGAGGGTCCCACATGGCGCACAGACCTCTCCTGCCGCCCGCTGCTCCCCTCAGCAGTGTACTTCAGTCCTTCTGCCTGCTCTGCTCCCTGCTCTGGCTCTGGTGAATTCTCTCACCCTCCCGCGCTTCTGACTGTACCCAGTGCTTGTATAAATAAATAAATAAATAAATCTTAAAAAAAAAAACAAAAACAAAAAAAAACCCTGAAAGGGTGGACTATAGGGTAAGGTAAAAGTATCAGGCTTTTCTGCCCTCCCGCCATTAGGATGGATGACGGAACCCTGCGGTCCCGAATGCATGCCTGATGGCGGGCACCTGGAGTAGGGTGTGGGCATAGGTAGATGGGATTCACCTGGGCTGAGACTGGGCTTATAAGGATGGCATCATGGGGATGCCAGCAGAGAACAGAACTAACTACCAGAAGCAAGAGGGAAGAAGAACAAACCAGAGCAGAGCCATGTGAGAAACAGAGAGAAGCAGAGAGAACGCCAGAGAGCCCAGAAAGAGTGAAGACTTGCTGGGTGCTGGGAGGCCTGCCAGCCTCCCCGCCCCCCAGGACTCCTGCCTGCTGTGTACCTGATAAATCCCAATAAAAGCCTGAAAAGCCACTGAGGGCTCCAGGGCTCCTTCCTCCTTTACCCCGTCTGCTCGGGTCATAGAAAACCTGCTCCGTGTCTTCCTGCCCCTTATAATGCCATTAAAGAGTATTCAAGATTCATGATAAGTCAAAACATTGGCATTAACAGGTCTTAAGAAGTTGATTCCAGGGCCTCCCTAGTGGCACAGGCAGTTGAGCGCAGCACTGCAAAGCTGACCACAGCCTCTGCAGTGAGGGTTCGAGCCCAGCCAGCCATGGAGATACCCACATGGCATGGCAGACCTCTCCTGTCTCGCCTGCTGCTCCCCTCAGCAGTGTATTTCAGTAGATCTGCCTGTTCTGTTCCCCACTCTGTCTCTGGTGAATCCTCTCACCCTCCCGCAAATCTGGCCTATACCCTGGTTCTTATATAAATAATCTTGAAAAAAAAAAAAAAGTAGATTCCAACACTCACGGGTGATTTTTGAGGAGTTCAAGACAAGTAGAACTAACTGCAGATGTGGTAGAACTAGAAAAAACTAGAGAACTAGAAATGGAGCCTGAAGGTGCAACTGAATTGTTACAATCTCATGATAAAACTTGAACAGATAAGTTGCTTATGGATAAGCAAAGAAAGTGGTTTTTTTTGAATGGAATCTACTTCTGGTGAAGATACCATGAACATTGTTGAAATGACAACAAAGGATTTAGAATATTACACAAACTTAATTGCTAAAGCAGCAGGGTCTGAAAGGACTGACTCTAATTTTGAAAGACAATCTACTGTGATTAAATGCTATTGTATTGCATTACATGCTACAAAATCTCATGTTTTTTCCTTTTTTCCACCATCATGTTGTATTTGATGATGGTCCTTGCTGTCTTCTCACAAGACTTTCAGGATCAAGAAACAAAAACAGAATCATCTCATTTCCTAATGAACACAAGTGAAAACTGGTAATAAAATCAGGTATAATTCTAAAAGATACTGTAGAAGAATCAAGCTGGGTCCATAAGGAGACTCGGACATGAGATGGCACACAAATGTATGCTCTATCACATCTTACCACATTACACTGCAAACATCACTGTTTGGACACGTTCAGGAACTTATTTTTCTTTTTGTATACTTCTGTACTTAGTATGTTGGACCCATAGTAAATATGTCAGGTCTTTGTTTAGAAAAGTAAAAAAGAAATCTTTCATGGAAGGAAGAATCAATGAGACAAAGTTCACTGTTGTCTTGTTCTAAGAAATAGCCACAGTTCTCCCGCCCAGCTGTGACTATGCAGCTGTCGCTTCTTTTCCTTTTCCTAATAAACCTGTCTTTTAAAATTAGAAAAAAAAATGGCACACCCAGACCCAACCTTCAGCAACCACCACCCTGATCAGTCAGCAATTATCAACATCAAGAAAACTTTCCACCAGAAAGAGGATTACAACTCACTGAAGGCCCATATGACAGTAAGCCTTTTCTAGAAATCCAGTATTTTCAAATTCATTATGTATTTTGGTAGTTGTTTTTTTTTCAATGATGCTATTGCACACTTAATAGACTACAGGAGATGTAAACATAACTTTTATATGCACTGATAAATCCAAAAATTTGTGTGACTCACTTCATTGTGATATTCATTTTATTGTGGTGGTTAGGAAGCAGACCAGAAAAATCTCTGATGTGCTTGTAATTAAGAGACATTTTCTTAATATATTTTAGTAACATAGAAATAATTTTTATTTATATAATTAACATTTAACATTAGCTTCAGGTGTACAACATGATTCAATATATGTATATATCACGAAATGATCACCACAATATGCCTAGTTAACAACTTTCACCATACAGCATTACAAATTTCCCTTGTGATGAAAACTTTCAAGATCTACTCTAGCAACTTTCAAATGTACAACACAGTACTATTAACTATAGTCATCATGCTGTGTATTGCATCCCATGACTTATAACTGGAAATTTGTACCTTTTGATCACCTTCACCCATTTCGCCCAGCCCCACCTGCAGCAATCACTACTCTTTTCTGTATCTATGAGTTTGGTTATTTGACTTGTTTTTGTCTTCTTGACAGGGTCAAATATGTATTTACTAAAGCTCTTTCCAGAATTCAGACAAACTGGGCCTCCCCTGGTGGTGCAGCGGTTGAGCGCTGGGTTGCGCAGCCTCTGCAGCGCCAGTTCGATCCCTGGCCACTGGGGAGGGTCCCACAAAAAAAAAAAAAAAAAAGAAAAAAAAAAAAAAACAAACCAGAATTCACACAAACTGCCTCCTAGATGTAATGAATGGAATAAAGATCATTAGCTTTCCTTTTCCCCAGGCAAAAAAAGAACTACTCAGTTGCATTAAGTTGAAACCTAGGAATTACCTCTGATCCTTTTTTGCACTCACTGTATCCAATGCAACACCAAGACCCACCAATTTTACTTTCTACATCTCTCTAGAATCTGTCCATTTCTCTGCACCTCCACCTATATCTCAGGTCTCATTGCCAGCATCTCTCATCTAAATCTGCATCTCTCATCTAAATCTCTTCCAACTGTTTACACTGATGACAGGAATGATCAAACCACCTCCCCCATCAAGCTATGCTCACCCCTCAGTGAAGAAATTCCCTCAGTGGTTTTCCACCAGCCTTACAGTAAAAGCAACAAATTCGCAAGGTCTGGCTTCCACTGGCCTCCAGCTTCATATTGTACCATCCTCCCCTTCTTCTGTGTACTGGCCTCTTGATAACATTTAGTCATTTTCCTCCCAACTGCCACAAAGCCTCTCTGCATATGCTTGTCTGTGTGGGAAATTCTGTCCTCCCCTCTTTATCTAACTAATTAGAATTCTCCGTTCAGGCCTTTTTTTCCTCAGAGAAGCCATCCAGTGTGTTTCAGGCACTCATAACACAGAGTACTAGGTGGCACTTGTTTCACATTTCTTGGGGAGATCATTGTTAACGTCTGTTTTCCCCACCAGAAACGAGACTCCTGAGGTCAGGGGCCATGTTTGGTTCACAGTGTAGCCCCAATGCTTTGCACAGTAAAGATCAGCTGGACGGTTAAGGAGATGGCCTAGTTCTTCGCATGAATTCAAATTTCTCAACAAGACTGTGGTCTGGAGACGGAGGAGGCGGACATTTCCTTCATCCCCGTCTCCCTCAGGGGCATGGAGCGGGCCCTGGGTGAAGGCTGCAGAATCAGTGGCAAAAACACGGTAGCCTCCTCAGAGAGGAGAAATGCGTCGCCGAGGGCCCTACGCGGCCGCAGGGACCCCCCCCAACCCCCCCAGCCCCAGCCGAGAGAGGGGACGCAGGCTACGGTACCAGAGCCAGCAACTCGGGACCCTCCTCTGCCCCTTGCAAACACATCTTCAGTGAGAAGGGTCAGCTTCAGACCACACAAACCAGGCGCCCCCTCCAGATTCCACAGCACCACCCCACCCTGCGCCCCCGATCTCCCCTATACTCACTCGATGTCAGCACCCGGCCCCCGACCGCAGCATTGCGCCGACACGCCAAAGTCAGTCAGCGCGCTTCCCCCCCACAAGACCCAGCGCGCGCGTAGGCGGGACTCCGGCTCCATCCACCAATGCTGGAATGGTGCTCTCGTGACATCAGAAAGAGCTGACCAATAACAAGATAGTGTCCAGGGGGTGGGGCATAAGGAAATCTCGGGAGCCGATTGGGCCCTCCAAACCGGAAGTTCTTCGGGAAGGATTAATTCGGAGCCAATCGCGCGGCGCCTAAGTGTGTCGGCGCGGTCGGTGGCGGCCCTGAGGAGAGTGGCTGCCGCCATGATAGAACAGCCGAAGCGCAAAGGCCCAGAGTTGCCGCTGGTCCCAGTCAAGCGGCAGCGGCATGAGTTGCTGTTGGGAGCAGCGGGGTCGGGCCCCGGACCCGGGCAGCAGCAGGCAGCGCCGGGAGCTTTGCTGCAGGCGGTAAGTGAAGCAGCAGGCGGCTTGGGCCCTCGCCCTGCTTACCTTCTCGCCTCTCGGCGCCGCGCCGGGTGATTCCGCGCCGGCCTTACTCCCCCAGCCCCACACTGCCCGGAGCGGAGCGAGACTCTGGGATCTGGAGTTAAAACAGATCAACACTGTTACAGTGGCCCTGTGCGTTCACCTCTCCACCGCCCTGAGGTGGCTTTAGAACCAGAGGTTAGGACCTTGAATTCAAAACCGGGATGGGGCCTTCCTGGTGGCGCAAGGGGTTGAGACGCAGCCAATGAAGCTGTCCGCAGCCACTGCAGCACAAGTTCGATCCCCAGCCAGGGAGCAACCCACATGGTGCGGCAGACCTCTCCTGTCTCGCCCACTGCTCCCCTCATCAGTGTATTTCAGTCGATCCACCTGTTATGCTCCCCACTCTGTCTCTGGTGAATCTTCTCACTCCCTGCACCTCTGGCCTGTACCCCAGTTCTTGTATGCATAAATAAATAAATAAATCTTTAAAAAAAAAAAAAGAGTAGTTGGATGAATGAGGGAAGGAAGGAAATGAATGATACTCGGTTTGGGACATTGGGCAGCTTGCTTTGCCCTTTATTTCTCTGCATTGATGTTGACAATCAAATAACAGCTATCACTCATAGAGTCCTTGCACTAAGTCCTTTGTATATGAAAACCCCATTCATCTTGGTAATAGCCTAAGCATTGGAAACTTTTCCCATTTTGTAAACGGGACAACAGACATATACAGGTGAGAGAAACAGTTTTTAAGCCCAGAATGCGTGCTCTTCACTACATTTCTTGTAACATAGAGGTGGTGTCCTCTCACAATCCCTCTACTAGCCCTTCAGTAAATCCTACTGGCCCCATCCTCAAAATATATCCAGAGTTAAAAAGACAAAACTTGCAAGCGGCTATAGACCTGAGGCTTACAGGAGGGGAGGGAGAAGGAGAGGGGTCAAAACAGGAGAGGGAAGCATACCAGGCACTAAGGACAATGGTGATGGTTTATGGTTGGATGGATTATGTTGAAGAACTACCAGGACTACACCAGTGGGGAGAAATCTGACACTGGACAAAAACTAAAGATGTAAGGAAATAAGTTTAATTTTAAAGTAAGTGTGTGTGGGGCCTCCCCAGTGGCGCAGTGGTTGAGCGCTGGGTTGCGAAGCTGCACGTAGCCTCTGCAGCACTGGTTCGAGGGTACCGTATGGCACGCGGACCTCTCCTGCTGCCCGCTGCTCCCCTCAGCAGTGTACTTCGTCATTCTGCCTGCTCTGCTCTCCCCTCTGACTCTGGTGAATTCTCTCACCCTCCCGCGCTTCTGACTGTACCCAGTGCTTGTATAAATAAATAAAATAAATCTTAAAAAAAAAATAAAGTAAGTGTGTGTGTGTAGACGTGCTACCACCTCTATCTTCATCACTAGCTCTTGATCTAAGCTGCTATTATTTGGCACTATTGCAATAAGATCCTAGTGGTATTCCTGTTTCTGCACTTGTATGATCAGCCTGTCCTCAAACCTGCAACCAGACAAATCCTCCTAAACATCGAATCATGTTTCTTCTGCTCAAAGTCTTTTCCACTTTACTCAGGAGTAAAACCAAAGTCCTTAAATCTTTTGCCTTCTTTCCCTTTAGCTCTGATCTACCAGTCTTCCATTGCTCAGTCACACTGACTTCTGTGCTCCTGTCTCAGAGCCTTTACATTTGTCGCTCCTACCAAAATGCTCTTCTTCCAGGTGGAATGCATTCAGTTCCTTCAAATCTTGATCATGGAGTACTTTTTAAGTGTGTGTTTTCCTGCATACTATTTTAAATTGCAACATTGCATACTCTAACCCACATTCCAGCTTTTGTTTCTTCTGCATTGCACATACCACTGTGTATGCTTTTTTCTCTCCCTCCCCTTTTGACCCTTCTTCCTGCTGCAACACAAACTATGTTGTTTATTTGTTCAATAGTGTTTGAAAATGCTTAGCATGTAATGTTTCTTTTAATGTTTCAGCTGAAAACTGCTGAAGAGATTTGAGGATTATTGCTAGTACACTTGTTCTTCTGACTGATAAGAATATCAGCCCAGGCTTCCATGAATTGCCCAAGTCTAGCCTTAGTGCCCAGGTCCATAATCCAGACAACTTTTCCCAATAATTTGTATCCTGCAGGGTTGTTGGAAAGCTCAGTTCATTCATTCATTAAATGAGCAAAAGACGAGGCCTCCCTGGTTGCACAGGGGTTAAAGACATTGCTGTCTAGCTGTGGCCAGCCACTGCAGCAGGAGTTTGATCCCAGGCCAGCAAGCTAACCCACATGGTACAGCAGGCCTCCTGTTTCGCCCATTGCTCCCCTCAGCAGTGTATTTCAGTAGATCTGCCTGTTCTGCTCCCTACTCTCTCTGGTGAATCCTCTCACCCCTACACTTCTGGCTTACAACCCAGTTCTTATATGCATAAATAAATCCTTAAAAAAAATGAGCAAGAGACTGGGAAGACAGTTTGAATAATATAGGTCGGCTCCCTGTACTCACAGAACTTCTAGTTCAGGCAGAAGGAATAAAATATGTAAATAAATGTAAAAGTAGGGTAATGACATATGATAAGTGCTGTGAAGGAATAAAGTAGCCTTAATGGAATGCAAAGGGGAGGTAGGGTGCTGCTTGAGTTCCAAGTAATCAAGGAAAGACTTTCTGAATTGGAAACATTTGAAAGGAGACAAACCCAAAAGATTCCTGTCTCTCAGGCAACAAGCATAACGATCCTGAGGCAGAAATGAGTTTAAAATGTTTGAGCAATTAAAAATAGGCTATGAGGGCCTCCCTGGTGGTGGCACAGGGGGTTAAGCAAGGTGCTGTGAAGCTGTCCCTCTGCAGCGCTGGTTTGATTCCCAGCCAGATGGGGAGAGGCCCATATGACACAGCAGACCTCTCCTGCCTTGCCCACTGCTCCCCTTAGCAGTGTCTCCAGTCCGTCTGCCTGTTCTGCTCCCCCCTCTGTCTCTGGTGAATTCTCTCAACCTCTCACATCTCTGGCCTGTACCCCAGCTTTGGTATAAATAAATAAATCTTTAATTTTTTTTTTTTTTAAAAATTGGCTGTGAGACAGGAGCAGAGTGAAGGAGAACAGTGTAACAGATAGATCTGGGTAACTTGAGCATATCAAATTGGAGGCATGAGTTATGTGAGAATTCCCACTCTCTAAATGAGAAATACACTCAATTGTTTTTCCTTGTCTTCTCCCTTTGCCCACCTACCCCTCAATCTTTTTCCTGTTTGCAGCAACTACTGTTATCTTTTTTGTTTAGGGGCCTCCAAGATGTTCTTCCCTTCAAGCTCCAATCATGCTTCTCTCTGGACATGAAGGAGAAGTGTACTGCTGCAAGTTCCATCCCAATGGATCGACCCTAGCATCTGCAGGATTTGACCGACTGATATGTAAGGCATAGTACTTGAATCTGAAGTAATTGGTCTTTGCCAAATAGTGATTATTTTTAACGCCTTCTGTGCAGAGTAAGGTATTAGTCTGAATTGGTAACATAACAAACTGTGGCTGAGATGCTAAAATAGAGGCATGAAAATGTTGCGTGATTTGGGTATAGAACTTGGGTCCATATAGATATAGAAGGGGGCCTCCCCGGTGGCGCAGCGGTTGAGCGCTGGGTTGCGAAACTGCGCGCGGCCTCTGCGGCGCCGGTTCGATCCCCGGCTGCTCCCCGGCCACCGGAGGAGGGTCCCACATGGCATGCAGGCCTCTCCTGCCGCCCGCTGCTCCCCTCAGCAGTGTACTTCGGTCCTTCTGCCTGCTCTGCTCCCCGCTCTGGCTCTGGTGAATTCTCTCGCCCTCCCGCGCTTCTGACTGTACCCAGTGCATGTGTAAACAAAACAAACAAACAAACCAGCAAACAAATAAATAAAGCATGCCTCTATAAAAAAAAAAAAAAAAAAAAAAAGAAGGAATTTTGTTACAATCCTAAATGCTCTAGTTTCAAAATGTCTTCCTCATGGAGGCAAATCTTGAACTAACTTAGCAAGACAAGAGATCCAGGCTTAGCAGATCAATCGGAGTAATAAGAGAGAGAACTTTTCCCCAAAGGTGTGAGACCCTCCTCTTGATCTACACTTAGAGGATCCTTACCTAAAGTGGCAATTAATTTAGATAATTTGCTTGAACATCATTAGGATCTACTCTTAGATTGTCACCTACTACTTAGTAATACCCATTTTTGAGAAAAAGTAGAAAAAATCATTTTGGGGGAGTCATGAGAAAAGGTAACAGAAGATAACAGAAGCCTGAAATTTTTTTCTTCTGGCTTTATTTTCCTGTTGTGAGAGAAACAAGTCCTGTAGTCAGTACTGATGACTCGGTGTGTCTGGGCAAGTATCTGTCTTCATTGTGCATGTTGATTTAGGTGTTCTAGTTTTGTGATCATTAAATTTACTAGTGGCCAAGCACCTGGGATGCATAATATCCATGAATTACTGATATGCTTAATTTGATAAAACAAACTGGAAGCAGTTTTATTAACAGAAAAGTAACTTGTATATATATATATATAATGTACATTAATCCTCCTTAACACTCATAAAACTTCACTCCTTGCTGGAATAAGCTCCCTGAAGATAGGAACTTTGTTTTCATTTACCTCCTTTTACTGCAACACCTGACATGTAATAGATATTTAGCACACATGGAATAAATAAATGTAGCACCAAGTCATTGCCATGTGACCCTCAAGTCAGCTGCTGTTTCCTTATTTTCCCTAAGTGCCATCATTTTGTTATCTCCTTTTACTCATAGCAGACAAGTAGTAATGAGTGCCAAAATTTTAACAAATACTTGATTTTACAATTGGCTACATTAACTTTTTTTTTTTAACACCTTACGAAATGTGGAAATATTGCCATTTTTATTTCAGGGTCAGGAAATTGGTGTAGCTGGTAGAAATAATAGTGTTCCAAGGGAGTATAATTTCAGAACTGTTGTCTTGGTAAATTCATAAGTGGTCAGTAATGGTCAGTAATGGTTTTTTGCCTGATAGTACTCACAGAACCCCTGTCTCCCTAACAGTGTTATGGAACGTCTACGGTGATTGTGATAACTATGCTACCTTGAAAGGACACAGTGGAGCGGTGATGGAACTGCATTATAACACAGATGGCAGGTGAGTGTTCTCCAGCATTGAGTGACTGCCTTCTCATACTAAGTCCTCCTGGAGTCTTTTTGCATTTCATCTTTTGAGTTTGCTCTCTCAAGATACCCTGCTGTCAGAAGCTACTGCATTTTTTCTTCTTCTTATTTTCCTATCACCGTCACTCCAAGTAAGATGTTTATTGTTCTATGTATCCATCATTTAACTTATCAGCAGTCAGACAAATTTGTTTTCTTTTTAAGACAAAATGCAATTAGTTTTATTTTATGTAAATTACCTATTATAAAAGTAATAAAATATTTTGAGAAACTCAAAGCAAAAAGATAAAAAAATAACCCATATTCTTAACATTCCAAAGATAATTGCTGTGAATGTTTGGACACTTTTTTCTCAAGCCTTTTTCCTACTCAAAGCTATTTGGTTTTTATGTATACTGTATGTTAGAATTATGTTTACAATCTTGTCTGCTCTTTTTATCCCTTAACTTAATTCACCTAACATACCTCTTTGTCATAACATACTATTTATCATAAACATTTTAATGATTGCGTAGTTTTAGAATAACTATAGATATGTAGAAATGTGATTATACAAAGTTAATCATTCTCATTAGGCATTTTGGTAAAAATTTTTATTGTTTTTTATCTCTTTATATTCTTAGGGTTCCCTGGCATACATTTTTCCTATTCATGTTCAAGTAAAGAGAACATTATAAAGTTATTTATAACTTAGAGCTCAACCTCGGAAACAAAAACTTTGATTTTTTTAGAGAAAGGGTTAAAATTACTCAGCCATTGGATCAGGGGGTCTGTCTTAATTATCTCTGCAGCAAGGGGTAATTAAAGATTTCCAAGTGGGCTGATATCTTATGTGTAAGGTGTTGTCTATCACAAAGGAGGAAAAGATTAAGAAAACTATTTTAGATGTATAATGTATCATGGGAACTACAGAAGGAAATTTTTTAAATATTTTGCAAGGTACGCACCTTGTAACTATCTGAAATATGTCTGAAACATACTTTCAGTTTTTGAAAGTAGGGGGAAGCATTTCAGTATCATGCCAAACTGTCAGCACAGCATGTCAGTGATCTTGAGTATTTTGGCAAGTGGAAAGGATAAATTGCTGTAGTTTGTCTTACTTCTTTTTGTTCTTCCTCTTACCTTCTAGTATGCTCTTCTCAGCGTCCACAGATAAAACTGTGGCAGTGTGGGATAGTGAAACTGGTGAGAGGGTTAAAAGACTGAAGGGACATACTTCCTTTGTGAATTCCTGTTATCCAGCCAGGAGGGGCCCCCAGCTTGTCTGCACTGGCAGTGACGATGGTACAGTTAAGGTGGGTGTTTGTGTGTTGCCATTTCTGAGGTGACAGAATGTGCACTTAGTCTTACCTTCCCACCTGTGCTGTACCTTCCTCTTCACAGCTTTGTTTTTAAAAGCCAAAACACTTTTTAAAATAATTTAAAATGACAATGTTTTAAGTGTTCTACAGGATAATGTTAGAACCATATTGACTTGGAATACAATGGATCACCTAAATTGAATTCTTGGCAATTTTCTTTTCTGATCACTGTTCAATCTTTATAACAGTGACAGAAGTATACATGTCTTACAAAGTTGTGAAATTTTATAGCCAGTGGGTAAAAATCTCAGTACATGGTTTTAAAGACTAGGATGGGATCTTAAAGATCATTCAGTCCAGTGATTTCCAACCTGTCTATATATCAGAATCACCGACAGAACCTGTTAAAAATACACAATTAGGGCCTTCCTGGTGTCTAGGGGTTAAGTCTCAGCACTATCATTGCAAAGGCCTGAGTTCAATCCCAGGCCAGGGAGCTAATCCACATATGGTGTTGCAGACCTCTCCTGTCTCATCCACTGAACCTTTTTCAGTAAATTTGCCTGTTCTGGTCTGTCTCAGGTGAATCCTGTCATTCCCCACACCTCTGGCCTATGCCCCATTTCTTCTATGCAAAAATAAATATTAAGAATACCCAATTAGGGCCTCCCTGGTGGCGCAGCGGGTTGAGCGCAGTGCTGTGAAGCTGTCTGCAGCCTGTGCAGCACAGATTCAATTCCCAGCCAGCCAGGGAGATTCTCACCTGGCGCGGCAGACCTCTCCTTTCGCCCACTGCTCCCCTCAGCAGTGTTTTTGGTACATCTGCCTGTTCTGCTTCCCACTGTCTCTGGTGAATTCTCTCACCCTCCCGCGCCTCTGGTGTGCACCTCAGTTCTTGTATAAATAAATGTTTAAAAAATAAAAATTAAAATACCCAATGAGGGTTTAGTAGCTCTGGAATGAGAATTTTTTTTGTCATTATTAAGACTTTTTTTAGGGCAGTTTTAGGATCACAAGATTAAGTGGGAGATTTCCCATGTATCCACTGCCCCCATGCATACCCAAACCTGCCCATCCCTGCTCCCTTAACCCCCATTAATATCACCTACCAGAGTGGTAAGTATACTTGTTAAAATTGATAAACCTACATTGCTACATTGACACATCTTAATCACCTTCTACATTGATACATCTTAATCACCATGGTTTATATTAGGATTCTCTTTTGCCTAGTATTTGTTCTGTGGGTTGGACACATATGTAAGGACATAGATCACTATGGGTATCTTAGAGTTTTGTCACTACCCTAAAAATTTTCTGTGCTCTGCCTGTTCATCCTTTCTCTCCCCCCTATCCCAACCCCTGGAACCACTGATATTTTTACTCTCTCTATAGTTTTGTTAAATTGTTATCATTGGAAACATCTAGTAGGTAGTCTCCTCATCCTGGTTTCTTTCACTTAGTAATATGCATTTAAGATTTCCCTGTGTCTTTTCATGGCTTGATAGCTTTTGTATTTTTAGTGTGGATTGATATTCCATTTCCCATAGTTTACCTAGTTATCTACAGGAAATCTTGGTTGCTTCTGAGAATTGGCACTTATGAATAAAACTTCTATAAACATCTGTGTACCGGTTTTTATATGGATGAAAGTTTTTAACTCCTTTAGGTAAATACCAAGGAGTATGAATCCTGGTAAGAGTATATTTAATTTTGTAAGAAACCACCAATCTTCCAAAATGACTGTACTTTTTGCATTTCTAACTGCAGTGAATGTGTTGTTTCACATCCTCTTCAGCATTTGGTGGTGTTGGTGTTAGAATTTTGGCCTTTCTAATAGATAAATAGTGGTGTCTTGTTTTCATTTGCATTTCTCTGATAGTATGTGGAGCTTCTTTTCATCTCTTATTTGCCATCTGTGTATCTTTGGTAAGGTGGCTGTTAAGGTCTTTAGCTCACTTTTTAATCAGATTCCTTATTGTTTTAAGAGTTCCTTATATTTTTGATTAATAGCCCTTTATTAGATGTGTCTTTTGCAGTATTTACTCCCAGCCTCTGGCTTGTCTTCTCATTCTGTTAACACTATCTTTCATAGAACAGAAGTTTTTAATTTTAGTGAAGACCATTTTACCAATTATTTCTTTCATGATTGTGCCATTGGAGTTGTATCTAAACAATCATTGCCAGGCCTTCCTGGTGGCTCAAGGGTAAGTCTCAGCACAATGATGCTGTTGGCAGCCACTGCAACAGTAGTTCGATCCCCAGCCAGGGAGCTAACCCACATGGTGCAGCAAACCTCTCCTGTCTCACCCACTGCTCCCCTCAGCAGTGTATTTCAGTAGATCTGCCTATTCTGCTCTCCACTCTGCCTCTGGTGAGTCCTCTCACCCTTCCCCCCCACCTCTGGCCTATACCCCAGTTCTTGGATGCATAAATAAATAAAATCTTCAGTGAAAAAAAATCATTGCCATATGTTACCTTCTAGGAGTTTCATATTTTCTATTTTACATATAAGGCCTATAATCCATTTAAGTTGTTTTTTGTGAAAGATGTAAGGCCCTTGTCTAGATTCATCTTTTTAGCTATATCAATAGATGTTCAGCACCATTTTTTGAAGAAACTTTGCTTTGTCAAAGATCATTTGACTGTATATTTCTGAATTGTCTGTTCCCTTCCATTGATCTCCTTGTTCTTTCCCCAATACTACACTGTCTCGGTTATTCTAGATTTATAATATATCTGGAAGTTGGATAGTGTCATTGTTCCAATTTTGTTGTTCATCAGTACATTGTTGACTATTTGGGGTATTTTGCCTTTCCGTATAAATTTTAGAGCTGTTTTGTTGGTACAAAATAACTTGCTAAAATTTTAGTTGGGATTGCATTGAATCTATATAGATCAGGTTGGGGAGAACTGGCATCTTGATAATACTGAATTTTTTATCCATTGAACATGGACTGTCATTACATTTGTTTCATTCACTCTTGGTTTTATTCTTCAGAGTTTTGAAATTTTCCTTATAATAGGTCTGAACATTTTCTTTTTAATTTATACTCATCTATTTTTCTTTTCTGGGATGTTAAAATATTTTGTTTTTAAAAATTAGAATTTTAAATATATTCCTCAAATGATTCAATGTAACAGGTCTTTTTGCAAGCCATTGATTTTGTCCAGTGTTTTCATTTTACAAATAAATATAAGGAGGCCTAGCAGTACTAACTTATTTCAAGGGCACACAAGGATAGAGGAGATTAATTACATACAACAAGCTTGATCAAGTAAGTAAATAAGTCTGAGGGATTTCTCAGTGTCAGAGAAAGGAGTTACCAATACAGAAAAAGACAATTAAAATGCATCTTGTAGTGTTGGTATCAAATTGTAAGTATCAATGTGAACTAAGACTTTCAATATAGTAATAGTTATAGGGGAAAAAATGGATCTAAATGTGTGTGAATAGTTATGTGTGTGTGTCTGTGTGTGCCTGTATTGCCTGACTGTCCATTGAGAGGGTTGAAGAACAATGCCACTCCAATGGTAATGAACCCATCTACTGTGCAGGTCTTGGCCTTTAAATATAGTTTTTCCACTGAAAGGAACCAGAGCTCCTTATTTCAGGACTGGGCAGAGAAAGTACATGATGAGCCTGGAACATCTTGTGCACGAAAGTTTGTCACAAGAACATCTTGATCAAATGACCAAGCTGAATGTTAGTAGCAATGGGAAAAATCAAAATTGTGAAGCACTTATATGACACAATGAAAATGCAGCATCATTCAGTGATTTTCCTGCGAAAGGTACATAACTTGAGTGTAATCTTTTTTTTTTTTAAGTTTTTTTTTTTTTTTTAAGATTTATTTATTTATTCATACAAGCACTGGGTACAGTCAGAAGCATGGGAGGGTGAGAGAATTCACCAGAGCCAGAGAGGAGAGCAGAACAGGCAGAGTGACGAAGTATACTGCTGAGGGGAGCAGCAGGCGGCAGGAGATGTCCGCGCGCCATGTGGGACCCTCGCCCCATGGCCAGGGATCCAACCGGCACTGCTGAGGCTGCGCGCAGCTTTGCAGCCCAGCACTCAACCGCTGCGCCACCAGGGGAGGCCCACTTGAGTGTAATCTTAAGGAAACATCAGACAAGCCAAACTAAGACACATTCTGCAAAATTACTGCCCTATACTTTTCTGAAGTGTCATGGTCATAGAACTCAAGGAAAGTCTGAGGAAATATTCTGGGCTAAATTATGACAGCTAAATTCAACACATGATTCTGAACTGAATACTTTTGTAAAGAAAGACATTGGAACAAGTTGGTAACATTTGAATGACCTCTTGAGCATCAAGTGGTAGTAATGTATCTGTTAATTCCGTGATTTTGATGGTTGTGTTAATTATGTAGGAGAATATCTTTGTGAAAAAACACACTAAAGTATTTAGAAGTGATAGGACATTAGCAAGTTACAGTCAAGTAATTTAGGGGCAAGTTCTCTTTTACTTGTCACTTTTTAGTATGTTTCTGGCTATTTCATATAATCTTTTAAAAATAATGATTGGGGGCTTCCCCAGTGGCACAGCATTTGAGTGCTGGGTTGTGAAGCTGCCCGCAGCCTCTGCAGCGCCAGTTCGTTCCCCGGCTGCTCCCCGGCCACCGGAGGAGGGTCCCGCATGACATGCAGACCTCTCCTGCCACCCGCTGCTCCCCTCAGCAGTGTACTTCGGTCCTTCTGCCTGCTCTGCTCCCCGCTCTGGCTCTGGTGAATTCTCTTACCCTCCCGTGCTTCTGACTGTACCTAGTGTTTGTATAAATAATAAATAAATAAATCTTTAAAAAAAAATGATTGGGACTAAAATTCTATTTTTTTTTTCTTTTTTTTTATTTATACAAGCACTGGGTACAATCAGAAGCTTGGGAGGGTGAGAGAATTCACCAGAGCCAGAGCGGGGAGCAGAACACACAGACTGACGGAAGAACACTGCTGAGGGGAGCAGCGGGCGTGGCAAGAGAGGTCTGCGCGCCATGTGGGACCCTCGCCGGCGGCTGGGGATTGAGCCAGCGCTGCAGAGGCTGTGGGCAGCTTTGCAGCCCAGCGCTCAACCACTGCGCCACTGGGGAGGCCCTAAAATTCTATTTTTTTAAAAAGATTTTTATTTATGCATACAGGAACTGGGGTACAGGTCAGAGGAATGGGGGGTGAGAACATTCACTGGAGACAAAGTGGGGAATAGAACAGGCAGACTAACTGAAACACATTGCTGAGGGGAGCAACGGGTGAGTCAGGAGAGTTCTGCTGTGCCATGTGGGTAGCTCCCTAGCTGGGGGTTGAACTCGTGCTGCGGATGGCTTCATAGGTTGCCTCGTAACCCCTTGTGCCACCAGGGAGGACCCTGGGACTAAAATTCTAGAAGATTTGAATCAAACTTTAAGTAGTTACCATAATTTTTAGGATAAAGACAAAGATTAATTTGATGTGAATAAAAATATCTGTTAAAACGAAGATTGTAGTAAGTCTTGAAAGATAAGAGGGAGCTTCCCTTTCTGGGAGCCACCAAACAGGTAAAAACAAATAGCCTAACTTTTTGAGAATAAGGAGTAAGTTTCATTCTGTTCCATCTGGTAGTAGGAGCACATACTGGGAATATGGATTGTTTTCTTTAAGGCTATTGCTGAGTAGAAGATGGAGTCCATGGTAAATTAAAGTGCTACTGAGCCTCTTACTAAGACTACTCAAGTGGTTTTTTTCCTCATTAATCATTTGCCTGGTTGCTGTAAACCTTTTATTTGTTTCTAAAATTCTGGTAAAGCTGAGTCTGCATGTATCTTTTTGTTTTTTTGTTTTTATTTGTTTAGCTAACTCACTGTTTTTGTAGAAAGATTATCTTCTGACATATCTGGCTTTACCATTTTCACAATATAACCTTTTTGTATATATATTTTTTAAAAGATTTATTTATTTATGTATACAAGAGCCGGGGTACAGGCCAGAGATGCAGGGGCAGGGGTGAGAGGAGTCACCAGAGACAGAGTGGGGAGTAGAACAGGAGGATCTACTGAAATACACTGCTGAAGGTAGCAGCGGGCGAGACAGGAGAGGTCTGCTTGCACCATGTGGGTAACTCCCTGGCTGGGGATCGAACTTATGCTGCAGTGGCTGTGGATAGCTTCATAGTGCTGAGACTTAACCCCTTGTGCCACCAGGGAGATCCCATTTTTTGTATATATTTTTTAACCAAAGTTTTAATCCACTGATGAGTTAGGATATAGTTTGTTTTTTTAAGATTTATTTATTTATGCATACAAGAACTTGGGTGTAGGCCAGAGGGGCAGGGTGGGGGTGGGATGAGAGGATTCATCAGAGACAGATTGGAGAGCAGAACAGGCCAATCTACTGAAATACACTGCTGAGGGGAGCAGCAAGCAAGAGGGGAGAGGTCTGCTGCACATATGTGACCCAGCTCCCTGGCTGGAGATCAAACTTGTGCTGCAGTGGTGGTGATAGCTTGGTAGCACTGTGTCTTTAACCCCTGCGTCACCAGTGAGGCCCCAGGAGATACAGTATGTAAACATTGTCTGATGGCCTGCTATGTTAAGAGTGCATGAACTAAGCAAATAGAATATTCCCATTCTAAGGGGCATGTTACTGTTTATTTGAACTTTAACAAAGAAGTCTGCCAGTCTTCAGATACATTGGCAAATTATTGTCACTTATCTTGTTACTAGGTATCTAGACACCTTACTAAACTAGGCTCTAGTAGAGATATGTTCACCACAACAAAGTTCTTGGGCTTAGGGATGTACTGTGCAGTTACTTCTAGAGTGATGTTAAAACACATGTTCCTGTGCTTCAGCTTTGGGACATCCGGAAGAAAGCAGCCATCCAGACATTTCAGAACACTTACCAGGTGTTAGCTGTGACCTTCAACGACACAAGTGATCAGATTATTTCTGGTGGAATAGACAATGATATCAAGGTATGTTCGATGATGTTTGTATTATGTTCCCTTTCACCTTAACTTCATTCAGAGATGAATCTTTTTTGTGGGGTAGTTTTACACTTAATACAAACTAAAAAGAAGATAGTAATTTGGATCTTATTTTTTTCTCCATATCCTCTTTGACTTTCTAAATCAAGAGTTGCATTGAAGATCATATAAATACCATCAAGGACCAGGTAGTTTATGTGAAGTGGGAAGCCCCTGTGTGAAAATAGAAAGTAGCATTCCCCACCTCAAGGTTTTGAAACTTTTTATGAGACTGGGGAAAGGAAGTTTTGGGGAGTCTGTAATTAAGAATGAGAAAGTAATAATTTGGAGAAAGAGCCGGTAAACTGTGTGTCGTTATAGTACAGTCCAAACTTATGAGTAATTGACTTGGGTTCTAATTCCAGTTCCACCATTTTCTAGTTTTTTGTGACTTCAAGTAACTTCTTTAATCCCTTGTTTTCTCTTGAGCATCGTGGTGGTAATAATAACAGCAGCAGCTATCTCATAGCATTGTTGTGGGGGCTAGGCAAACCTTATGCATCAAGAACAACTAGCAGAGTTATTGGATATAGCAAGTGCCAGTAAACTTGAAGTGGTTTTGGAGCGCTACACAATTTGTGCCTGTCATACTTACTGAGTTCTTTAAGATTCCAAAGACTTTTTGACCTTAACTTTCTTCTTTGTTGTGATAAGAACTATTCAACTTCTTATTGTCACTATCTGTTGTCATTATCTTTGTCCATCTTTCCTTGCCCCCTTTGCTATTACTATGGATGAAATGTTCTTACTTTTGTCTATAGATAATACCTTAAATAGAAGGATTTTAACCTGTTTTCTGCCTTTAGGATCTCATGGCATCAGTTTTTCAGTTTTTGTATTTTCAGTCTCCAGCATCTTCTACTACTTATAAGCATTTCATCATGCTTAGGTCTTTCTAGCAGGGGACTTTACCTTCAATTCTACATCCTCTTATTAATTCCCTGTCAGTCTTTCCCTTCACTGCTAAGTTTGTTGAAACACCATGATGGTGTTGGTTATCATCATCTTACACTTACATAGTGCTTGCCTTGTATCAGTCCTAGACTTTAGAGTTTTACCATATTCATTCATTTGCAAAACAATCTCATGACATAAGTGCCGTTGTACAAATGAAGAAACTGAGCCAAAAGAGGCACAACAGTTTAATTCAAGGTTATACAACCTAATAAGTGATGGAACCTCAGTTCAAAACTCAGAATTTGGGTCCAGAGTCATGTTCTTAATACCTATGAGAAATTTCCAGAAGAGTTTTCTATACCTACCATCTTCTATTCCTTATCTCCCTTTCATTCATCAATTCCATATCTCCTAATCATTTGAGAGTCTGACTTCTGCCTTCCTTGTTTCATCGATACTCTTCAGTCTCCAATGATCCCTCTGTTATTAAATCCAGTAGTTCTGTTTAGTTGTATTTAAACTGGCTGTGTCTTTGACAACATACCCACTGGTATCTTAACGAGTAATTTGGCTGAGATCACATAATTGAACACTCAGTCAGTGGTAGAGTTAGGACCAGCACTCCAAGGGAGCAATTCATCTTTCTACTCTTATCTTACTGCTTCTAGTCAATCAACATGTTCCTTTTAAGCACTTGGGGCTTACCAGTCTTGAGCACCTGCTTGACAAATCACTACACTGCCTCAGTACGTTAGGGGACACTTCTGAAAGAAAATGGTTTTGTTTGCTTTGCTATTTGTTTGCCTGTTCTAACAAATGGGGGACAAATAGTGAATGGGAGCCCCCTTTTAAAGTCAGAGTTAAGCAAATTCTGTGTGTATTTGTGAAAATACTGTTCTGTAAACCTCATGGAACTTATTAGGGATAGGATTGGAGTTATAGGAAAATGAATAAAAGAAGAAAATGTGCCTCTGCTTGATGGTTGGAAGGTCTGACTGACAATTCTTTGGCATTTCTTATAATCCTGAGCACTAGTCAGAATGGGAATTTAGCTGACAATTTAATGTTTTATTTTAATCTAGTGGCTAAGAGAGTAGACTATATCCTCATTGACTTTCCAGCCCCTTCCCCCCCCCCCACCGCCTCACATCCCTTAATTTACCTCTGGTAGAAGGATTTTCCTAAAATGTTCACCTAACTCACTCACTCTACTACTCTGAACCTTTCTGTAACTCCCCAGTAAGGAAGATTAAGTGCAAGCCAGGCGTTCAAAACCTTGCATAAGCTAGACTCTGCATACCTACCTCTCAAGCATTGCCTGTTCCCTCTTTGCATGAGTCCCAATAATCCAGCCGTTTTTCATGCCTCTGTTTCCACATACTACTTTTCTTTGTACTCTCTCTCTTTTGTCTAAGTAAAAAATACATCTTTCCTCTTCTATACCTTGTTCAAGTTCTTCATTCTCTGTGGAGCTTTCCCTTTCTCACTGTTCTCCCTATTTCACAGGAGAATTAATTCCTCTTAACTCCTGCTCTTTGTACAGGCCCCTCTCATCATTAACCTATTTTCCCTACTAGACTGAAAATTCCATGAGAGCAGGGACTACTTCTTTCTTTCTTTCTTTTAATATCCAACAGTGCCTGCCTCTTACAGATGCCCAGATGTTCACTGAACAGCTTATCAGGTCACTTGCAAAATGATTTGCTTATATTAGCATCCTGCTCACTCTTTTCTGTGGCAAATCCCTGATAAATTTTAATTCTGCACAATGTGTACACAACTCAAGCACAAAAGTCTGGAAATAGCGCCCAGGTGCTATGAGAGATGGCAAATTGCATTCTCTCCTAGTTGTTGAAGAGCTAAGGATTTCCATATTGCTTTCTGTGAACAACAGCAGCTTGAACAAAAATGTCAGCCATTTCAAGCTTACCTGATTATTGAGGCAGTAGACATCCTGACACAGAAATGATTGTATGTAAAGGATGCTGGGTTCCACACATGAGTGAGTTATTGATGGGGAAAAATGGAGTTGTCTGCCTTACATATTGCTGTGAAATACAACACCAAATTCATTTCTAGATAAGGAAGTTACCTTCCTTAAAGGCATGCAATTTTTGTTTCCATTTAGAAAAACTACATGACAGTTTTACATATAATTAGGAGAAAATTATGTATACTACCAGTGACCTTAACAAAATTGCTGTTCTTTTTCCATAGGGCATTCCAGACCATTGCTACTGACTTTAATGTATTTTTCACATTGTTCTAGTCTATATAAATTTTTTAAACTGCTTTATATTTTTCTTTTATAATACCTTTTAATAACTTATATAAACATTTTTACATTTCGTCTTCAGAGTTATTTTTAGGGTTTGCTAATAATAGCTACCAATTATTGAGAACCTGCTGTGTACTAGGCAAATGCTAAGTGTTCTCTTTGTAATCCTCAACAGCCATAAGAAGTACATGTTGTATTCTCATATAAACACCAGAAACAGACTCAGAGAGGGCTGGTGGCCCAATGACACAATAGCTGATAACTCTTAAGTGGCTAAGAATGATTCAGTCTCCCCTAAGTCCCTGGTCTTTCCATTCTACTATGTTGTTTCCTGCATGTGAACTCATAGTGTTCCAATATGCTGTTGAGCCATAACTAGATACACTATTTGACATTAGGTTATTTTCAGCTGAATTGTTTCTCTGACTTGTCTTACCCAGGCAATAGTGAATCAGCAATTAATTTGTTCTAAGTATGCTTTTCCATTGTGTGTGTATATGTTTTTTTTTTTTTTTTTTTTAAAGATTTATTTATTTATTTACACAAGCACTGGGTACAGTCAAAAGTGTGGGAGGGTGAAAGAATTCACCAGAGCCAGAGCAGGGAACAGAACAGGCAGACTTGATGAAATATACTGCTGAGGGGAGCAGCAGGCGCAGGCAGGAGAGGTCTGCGTGCCATGTGGGACCCTCGCCGGTGGCCGGGGATCGAACCGGTGCTGCAGCAGCTGCGGGCAGCTTCGCAGCCCAGTGCTCAACCTCTGCGCCACCAGGGGAGGCCCATGTGTGTATGTATTATGAGAGTAAATGAAAAATTTTTAAGCAGCTATATTTTTGCATATTACTTGTTAGGTACTACATTTTACATGCAATTCATAATGCCTTTTTCAGATGATGTTTACTTGTTTTTATATAGTTATAATAATTTAATTTTTAAGACTCATACTGAAAGCATTTTAGATGCCCCTTCGTTTTTAAACTCCTAATTTTGTTTGATATGAAAATCACCTTTTTTTTTTTTAAGAGTTATTTATTTATGCATACAAGAGCTGGGGTACAGGCCAGAGATGCAGGGGGTGAGAGGATTCACCAGAGACAGAGTGGGGAACAGAACAGTCAGACTGACTGAAATACAGTGCTGAGGGGAGCAGCAGGTGAGACAGGCGAGATCTGCTTCGCCATGTAGGTTGCTCTCTGGCCAGCCGGGGATCGAACTCGTGCTGCAGAGGCTGTGGATTGCTTCATAGTGCGGTGCTTAACCCCTTGCGCCACCGGAGAGGCCCCTGAAAATCACCTTTAAAAATTCTCATTTTTTTGTTGAATTTTACCCTAATATTTGGCATTCACTAGTTTATATATTCATCTAGTCAAAATAACTGACTCCCTTTTTTGAAAAACAATTTTTCTTCAACAGAAATCCTATATTTTGTGGTAAAATAATAATTGACTCAGAGCCAGATTAAGAAGGAATACCAATTTCTCTAAGCAGTTGACTCTTTAGTATTTCTTTACCATTTTCAATTTGATTTCTGAAAACATGTTTTTCTGGAATTTTTGTTGTTGTTGTTTTTATTTGTTTCTTTTCCAGGTCTGGGATCTGCGCCAAAACAAGCTAACGTACACCATGAGAGGCCATGCAGATTCAGTGACTGGCCTAAGTTTAAGTTCTGAAGGCTCTTACCTCTTGTCCAATGCAATGGACAATACAGGTGACTTTGGAAAGGAAAACTCTACCTGTGCCCAGTTAGTATGGATCCTAGAGAAAGCGGCCTTTCAGTGCTAGAGATATGTACTAGGACCCAAGGAGAAAGAGTCATGAATGGCTTGCGGCTTTCTATCCAGGGCACTTAATAGAACACATTATAGAGAAAGTTTCAGAGGAGTTGGTCAAGAAGCCAGGATTTCTAGCTCCAGATCTGCCATTTAATCTCTGAGCAATTTTGCGTACATTTGTCCTCTCTCGGCATTATAAAATAAGAGGACTGAACTTAAATTTTAAGGCTCATTTCAGCTCTGGTGTGTTATGCTTCCAAACAGGATACAAGAAACTCTTAGTATTGCATTTATTGAGAAAAGTGAGATTTTAAAGATCCATCGAAGGCGTTCTCAAGTTTTTTTCAGAGAGCACCAGCTTGCGTGCTCAGTAGACCTGTTGATAGTTCACTTGTGCTCTTTCTGCCAGTAGATCTTCCTTCCCCGCTCCAAACATTGTTGTGACAGGAGGTTCTCATTAAACCATCTCAACATTTTGGATTTATCCGAAAACATTCTTTGTTTTGGAGTTTTTGAATGGGAGGATGGGTTTGCTATAGGAAAAAAGGAAGATGACTTGTTGGATTATATGCTTAAATATTGGGGGAATTTGGAAATGCCTCTCAGGTGTACAAGTTCATAGACTTGTCCAGAACTAAAATGTTTTCATTGATATTTTATAACTAAAACAGTGGGTACTCAAAAACTATTTGTTGAATGAAATAAGCATGCTTAGCAGAATGCTCTATTCTTAACTCAGTGGCCAACTTTCGTGCATAGTTTCTCCCTTTTACACCTAACTTCAAAGGTTGGTGTTAACTTTTTCACACTAAAATAAATGACACCAAGTGACTCAGTTCTCTTATAGATATAGCTTTATGAGTTAACAGTGCCTGTATTGACTGCTTATTGTGAGTGTTTATACCCATGTTATGATTTCAGTAGATTTACCACTAATTCTAGCATTGTTCACAGTAAGGAGAGATGAGAGTCCCTAGGTGATTATTAAGAATTCTTGTTATGACTACATAATAAAGTTGCAAATTCTTAATTTTTGTTTATTGCCTCCAATTTTTAGGGCTGTTTCTTGTATATCATCTTATTTAATCCTTAAAGTGCACTTATTTAAAAAAAAAAAAAAAAAGCAAGTGGTAGTCTCATTTTACAGAGGAGATCAAGACACAAAAAACCTCACTATCCAGCATCACCCAGATGTCAGCACTGCAAAACTGGAATTGAATTCAAAGTTCACTTTTTGTGGTTCTTGGCAGTTCTCATTTACTATATTTCACTTTGTTCAGGTTTAGATTGTTAAGTGCCCCATCAGTAAAATTAGAAAAGGTCAGTCCTAAGTTTGATTTTATAGTTTCATTGTTATAGTAGTTAACTTGTTGTATGAAACTTTGCTACATTGAATTGGCAGGCAAATCATTTGCAAAATGTTTTGTTGACATTAGTGTCACACCCAACTAACTTTCTGTTGCAAATCCTCACCAGTGTGACATTTCTCTTACCTACCCCCTCACCTCTCCTGAGTTCTTAGTCCCTGTTAATGGAACTTGAATGCATGTCATTCCCAGTAGAGAAAAGATCCTATGGCTACTAGCTGTTTTGGTTTGTTTGTTTGAATTCACAGTTCGAGTCTGGGATGTCAGGCCATTTGCTCCTAAAGAGAGATGTGTGAAGATATTTCAAGGAAATGTGCACAACTTTGAAAAGGTGAGTTCTGTATGTATAGGAATTTTACTGTCCTTTTGTTTCAACAAAAAAAAAAAATTTAAGGTGATGCGTAAGGATAGAGAGCAGTAGCTCTACTAAGAAGGGACTTTATTCTGTTAGTACTGTTCTTTATTTCAACTGTTTTTGCCCGAAAGAGAAGCACAGGGAAGGCAAGAACACAGATAGTAGTGGGGCCAACCCACAAATATAGAACTTCTGATTATAATGTCTACCCCCAATAAGACACTTCTGTTCTTTAAATTCTTTGGGAACTTTGGCCCTCTTCACTCCTTATTTGTTATGAGACCTCGGCTCCCGTGATTATTACCTGGATGGCTATCAACCATTAGAACCCTGAGAACATAATCATTCCCCTCAGTAAACACTGTAGACCAGGTTCTGAAAGAGGATTTTTTCCTAAATCCCAAATTCCAGGTCTGCTTTTGAAAGCAGTGTATGACATAATCACCATAGGTCATTTAATAAAGATTAATGTCTTTCTTTTGAGAGCTCATCTTGAGATTTAGTTTTATTTTATGAATCAAAATCTTTGTATTTTTATTTTCCTTCAAGAGAAACAAAAATTTTTAATGGACATCAAGATAAATGGGATAAATTCTCTGTAGACAGAATGAAATTTTATTGCCAGGTTCACTTTAATGTAAATTAAGCATTTTCTGCAGTCAGTTTTTATATGGTATGCAATAACAAAGTATCTGCGTTGGGCCACAGAAATTAATTGCTGCTCACTGATTATTTGATCTTCTGGGGAGTATAATGAAAATGCTTAAAAGAAATTTAAGGTTTTTTAGTGATTCTATAGTTTAGCAAAGAGGAGTTTGGAACATTACTATATTCATTGGATTCCTGCTTATTCATCACTATAGAATCTTCTGAGATGTTCTTGGTCACCTGATGGAAGCAAGATAGCAGCTGGCTCAGCTGACAGGTAAGGATTTCTATTCACGAGGTAAAGAATGATGTTGCTGTGCAGGTATCTTCTCATGTTTAATACATGAAGTGTGGATGTTGAGCTGGAACGGACAGAGTTATAGCTGTACTCAGAGATGAAGTCATGTGTACTGTGAAGGGTTTTAAGATCATAACGGACAAAATCATCATTACTGCCTTTGGATACATTTTAAACATAGAGGATAAGCAGTTTTTTTTTTTTTTTTTATTCTGTTGAATTCTCTTTGCTAGCAAAATAAAATTCAGACTAGCAATCTGGTTCCAGTTTCCCTCGAGGAAATGTGCAGAACTTTGAAAAGATGATTTCTGTGCACAGGAATTTTACTGTCCATTTGGTTCACCAAAAAAAAATATTTAAGAGGATTATAAATGATTCTCCTAATGTGAGTCAGTTCCTTCAACTGCCCCATCCTTGCCATGTTCTTCATTCACTGGAAGTTTTCCCAGGTCTTACCTGCCTTCTGCATCCTCACCTCCAGGTTCTCTCTCATATCCTACTTTCTCTGTTATCCAAACTCCTATAACTTCCTTGTAAGCACCTCTGTGTTAGGTCTATTAACTTTCCCTGGCCCTCATCCTCCTCTATTGTTCTTTGCTCTGCATTGTAGTCACACTTTTGCATCTCTCCTCTATTAGCATTTATTGCATTTTGTGGTCAGACATAGAGTGGCATCCCCACTAAATTATTTGCTCCTAGAGGCCAGGGAATGAGACTTAGTCATCTCTGAATTTAGTGAAGTGCCTTACGTGAACTTTACATGAATGAATTTCTATGTCAAGGATGGTAGTGAGATTTTACCCAACATGTCACCTCAGTTGTTGGTAATGGCTGCCTTTGCTGAGGAGTTGGTTCTGGGTTCAATGAGAAAGATGCTATGATTTCTATATAGATGGCAGGAGTTGGGGGTGGCAGCATGTAGTGTAGGTATTGCCTAACCCTGAGCTCAATTAAGAGATTAAGGCATTCTTAAATCTCAATTTAAACTGACTCAGGTGCTACTGATGAATTAGAAACAAAAGGAAGAATTCTTCTGTCCAATGCTATTGTGTTCGGTATGTTTAGAATATCCAGGTGCCAAGGCTGGCGATGAGAGGTGTTAAAGAATGATGAGACCCTCTGATAGCAAACTCTAGGTTTTGCTCCCGCTGGGAAATGTCTTATCCCTTTTCAGTGTAAACCCATCTTTCTCCCCCTTTAGAAATGTTCGTGTTTCGGGCCTCCCCAGTGGCGCAGAGGGTTGAGTGCAGCGCTGTGAGGCTGTCCGCAGCCTCTGCAGCGCGAGTTTGATTCCCAGCCAGGCCAAGGAGATTCCCACATGGTGCAGCAGACCTCTCCTGTCTCTCCCACTGCGCCCCTCAGCAGTGCTTTCGGTCTGTCTGCCTGTTCTGCTCCCCATTCTGTCTCTGGTGAATCCTCACACCCTCCCACACCTCTGGCCTGTACCCCAGCTCTTGTATAAATAAAAAACAAAACTTAAAAAAGTTCCTGTTTCCATACTGATACAGGTGTTATCCTATAAACTTGAAGTCTTCCCTGGACTTCCTTGGGCTTTCATCATGTTGTAGGATTTTCTCCTAGTGGGGCCCTAGCTCAGCCAAAGAAAAGTATCGTTTTGATTTGTCCTACACCTTCCCATTTATGAACAATGCTGAATATACCTGAAGATTCCAGAGTGACTTCTTCCCTCCCCACTTCCCCCCCCCCTTTTTTTTTCCCTGGCAAGTTTGATGCCTGGCAAGATGAACAAGTAATCGGGTCTTTCCTGGGGCTTTGCCCAGGTGAAACAGGGCACATTGATGGTTTGCGTCCTGGTGGTTTAGAGAACTACCTTGAGAGGGCATCTAAGGGATACTCAGTTGTCAGATTACTGAAGACCTTAAAAGACAGAGTAAGATCCATTTTAAGTATCTTTATAGCTTTCGGCAGAGATACTGTATCCTTTCACTGTGATTGTTTAAATGATATTTTGCCTGAGCCTACCTTCTAAACAGTTTATTTCTGACTTGGACCCTCCCTCAGTTTCACTGTCCCCTCTTTCCTCTTTGCCTTCCCACTGTTCCTTTAACCTTACATATGGTAGCATGACTATGGTCTAGGGAAATGTACATGTCTATCTGCTGGGGGTTGGCCAGGTTTCACAGGTGTAAGGGGCAGACCAGGCCACAGTGCAGGTTTTCTGATCCAGCAGACTGGGTAAAGGAGGAGTCAGAGTCCTCAGTGGCTTTTGCAGGTCTTTTATTGGGGTTTACCAGGTACACAGCAGGCAGGGGCACTGGGGGGGCCAGTAGGCTGGCACGCCTCCCAGCCCCCAGCAGGTCTTCACTGTGGGCTCTCCGGCCTTCTCTCAGCTTCTGTTTCAGCTTCTGCTGGCATCCCTGTGACGCCGCCCTTAAAAGCCCAGTCTTAGCCCAGGTGAATCCCTTCTACCTATGCCCACACCCTATTCCAGGTGCCCGCCATCAGGCATGCATTCAGGACCGCAAGGATCCATCATCTATCCTGATGGCGGGAGGGCAGAAAAGCCTGACATTTTTCCTTAACCCTACAACAGGCCACCTTATCAATTATCCCCAAATCAACAAGCAGCTCTGTTACATAAGGAATCTGGTTTCTGCTGAATGTTGCCATGCCAAAGTAAGGAGAGAACAAGGAACCCCTCTAAATTAATTGGCGGCTATGGAGAGTGAGGCCTTGAAGTAAAACCCTCAGGAGATCAAGGGTTCTGCTCACTTTTATGTGCCTGCAAAATGTTTCCTTCCTTCTTAGGAAACCGCTTTCAGCTTGGCCTGGATTTGGCAAAATTTCCCCTCCACCTACTTCCTCATGTTCAAACTTGAAGCCCTTCAACAACTCTATCAAGGGCTAGGGGAAGACTGGTCAGTCTCTCTGCTGTGAGTGACTTAGTCATCCTATTAACTTCATGAGATTCTGTTTTGATAACAGATGTATTTGTTATAACAATAGCTATTACTGATTCTGTGTGCCAGGCACTCTGCATATGTATCTCATTATTTCTGTCAACCAGGCTGTGAGATCAATATTGTCTCCGTTATAACTAAGGAAAGAGAAGCTCAAAGAAGTAGTAATTGCCTACAGTTACTCAGCCATTAAATAGCTGCATTGAGTCTTAAACCTATACTGACTAGAACTCATACACTTTTTCACTATGCCACGTCACACTGAGCTGGATGGATGAGGACAGCTATTTGTGCATGGTATGAAAGAAGAAAATAGAGGGAGCATAAACATCAAAGCAAAGAGGACTATAGACCAATAGGGCTCCTGCTTCTCTTTCACCTTACTTGGACCCTAGCTTTTGAGAGCTAACCATTGGGATTAAGAAACTCTTGTTATTTGTATTTTACACTAGAAGTGTAATGTCACATCAGAACTTAGCAGTTAAAATCATGTGTTTGTGTATAACCTTTAGGTGTTGACAACAAAACAAATATGTAAATAATTTGTATGACCTGCTTAAAAACCACCAGCTCTTTAAATTTACCAACAGATTATATTTGCATGATCATATGAAGATTTTTTTTGTTTTACCCTTCAGTTTAAAATGACCCCAGCTAGTTTGAGAGTCAAAGAAGCTTCTGGGTTTTTTGAAAAGATAGTGGGGTAGGTAAGGGTTTGACAGTGATAAGAGAAAAGAGAATAATGGAGTATATTAATTCAATTACTGACGGACAGTGACACCTTGGAGTAGTCACTGTACTTTAGTTTTCTTATCTATAAAATAAATTTAGACTAGGTGGTTTATGCTGCTCCCGTCTCTATTCTTTCTGTCCATGAATTTAGTTCAAGATTTGAATTAAGCGTTTATTTGGGTTATGTTTATATAAAAAATTTCCTGTCTCTTCAGGGCAATCTGTAAGCTAGGCTCTCAGCCTACCATGAATTGGGTTAACTTTAAGACATTCTTGCATTAATAACAGATTAATTACAGACTTACACTATCAGATGCTCTTTGAAGAGTTATGTGTGGAGTCCATAGGAAAAACCATTTGTCTTCTACATGTTTTTTTTCTATTTCAGAAACTTGTGTTTAAAAATACTAGTTATTCCTACTTCTCCACCCGGTTGCTCAAGGGCAAGGTCCATGCCTTATTAAAATCTGTACTCCTACTTTCTAAAAACCTGAGCATAATTCAAAAAATATGGAATGAAGCTAGAGCAATTCGACAAGAAAAGGAGATAAAAGATAACCAGATTGCAAAGGAAGAAGTAAAACTATCACTATTTGTAGATAACCTGACAATGCACATAGAAAATCCCAAAGACAACAGCAAAATTATTATATATTTATATATTATATAAATAAATTCAGTTAAGTGGTAGGCTACAGAGTTAATGTGTAAAAATCTGTTGTATTTCTATATACAAGTAGCAGAGAAGTTGGGAAAACAAGCCCATTTACAATCACATCAAAAAGAATTAAATACCTAAGGGCCTCCCCGGTGGCGCAGTGGTTGAGAGCCGGGTTGTGAAGCTGCCCTGCAGCCTCTGCAGCACCGGTTTGATCCCCGGCTGCCGGGCAAGGGTCCCACATGGTGCACAGACCTCTCCTGCTGCACCCACTGCTCCCCTCAGCAATGTACTTCCGTCCTTCTGCCTGTTCTGCTCCCCGCTCTGGCTCTGGTGAATTCTCACACCCTCTCGCGCTTCTGACTGTACCAGTGCTTGTATAAATAAATAAATAAATAAATATTTTAAAAAAAAAGAGTTAAATACCTAAGAATGGATTTAACTAAGGAGGTGAAAGACTTGTACAGTGGAACTATTAAGACCTTGTTGAAAACAATAGAAGATACCCAAAAAATGAAAAGATTATCCATGTTTATGGAATGGAAGATACTGTTAAAATGGCCAACTATTAAAGTCCCAACATTTTTCACAGAAATAGAACAAAAAAAATCAATAAATTTATTTGGGAACTACAAAAAACCCCTAGTAGCCAAAACAGTCCTAAGGGGGAAAATTAAATGGAGGTATCATGTTCCCCAGCTTCAAATATACTTCAAAGTGATAGTAATCAAAATATCATGTTGAAATAAAAACAAACAGACAAATGGAAAAGAATTAAGAGTCCAGAAATAAGCCCACTAACATTTATTAAAAAGGAATCAAGAACAGGGCCTCCCCCGTGGCGCAGCGGTTGAGCGCTGGGTTGCGAAGCTGCCTGCGGCCTCTGCGGCGCCAGTTCGATCCCCGGCTGCTCCCCGGCCACCGGAGGAGGGTCCCACATGGCGCGCAGACCTCTCCTGCCGCCCGCTGCTCCCCTCAGCAGTGTACTTCGGTCCTTCTGCCTGCTCTGCTCCCCGCTCTGGCTCTGGTGAATTCTCTCACCCTCCCGCGCTTCTGTCTGTACCCAGTGCATGTATAAACAAAACAAACAAACCAGCAAACAAATAAATAAAGCATGCCTCTAAAAAAAAAAAAAAAAAAAGACAAAAAGGAATCAAGAACATAAAATGGAGCAAGGAGTGGTGTGGGGTAAGTTGAACAACTGCATGCAAACAGATGAAACCAGAGCACTATCTAACATCATACAAAAATTAATTCAAAAATCTGACAAGGAGTTAAGGTGAACGAAACCTACCATTTGCAACAAATTGGAACCTAGAGGGATATAAGCCAGAGAGACAAAATGTTTTCACTCACGTGGAAGATAAAGAATAAAACTAATGAACAAACAAAACAAAAACTCTTAGCCTGTAAGAACAAAATAGAGGTTACCTGAAGGGAAGGGGGAAACAGGTGGCTAAATAAGGTAAAAGGGTCCATTGTGGAATGAAGATGGAAATTAGACTTTTGGTGGTGAACATAATACAATATATATAAAAGTTGATTATAATGCTGTAGGTCTGAAACTATAAGTTTATAAACCTGTTACTTCAATTAAAGAAAATGTGTATGGGGTGAATGAATAAGCTGTTGCATTCATTACCCTTAATAAAACCCTACTTCTGCCCTACACCCTGCTCTGGTTGACCCTTACCTTGCTCTCATTGTAACTTTGCAGGTTTGTATATGTGTGGGATACCACAAGCAGGCGGATTTTGTATAAGCTGCCTGGCCATGCTGGTTCCATCAATGAAGTGGCTTTCCATCCTGATGAGCCCATCAGTAAGTCTGTCCTCACTGGGGGGAAAGGAAAACTAGAAACCTGCAAAGGGGCCCTCAAAATACAGAAACAAATGGATATCTGTTTTATGTGAATTTCCATTCAAACATGGAAACACAAGTATATATGGATATCAATGACACTGGCCATTTTTCTAAGTGGTGAGGGTAAGAGCAACATTCCATCTTAATCTCAAATGGAAGTTGGTTAATCTGTTTCTAGTTCTTTTGCGTTTTCTTGTTTTAAGTCTGTGTCTGTGACATATTTGGATAAAAAGATTGTTTCTTAACATATATATAAATTGTACTTGCATATTATTGACTAGCCTAAATAAATAATGGCACTTGAGTTTAAAAAGAAATAGAACTTTCTGCAGAGCTAATAAGTATTATAGGCAGAAGCACATTTACTCATTTGACTGGCACAGACATTGATTCTTCTTTTCTGGAGTGATGGAGAAGGTCTTTTTCTTAGGGTTTGATCAACATGGGTAAGACATCAGGATTTAGAACCTGATTGATGTATTTCCCATAGCTGAGTCCATATTCACGGTCAATCCAGAGGCTGTGAAGAGTCTGGCTGTAGTTTTCTGTGAATGGTTTAAGAGGAGGAGATTGGAGCTAAATCCAATTGCTCTTTTATATCAAATTGACTCTTGACAGAAGAACCCTTGAGCACTAAGTCTCCTTGAGCCTTCATAATTTCCAGTTATCTTCTCTGTTCTTTTCACCTCAGTTCTCTCAGCATCCAGTGACAAGAGACTATATATGGGGGAGATTCAGTGACGATATGGAAGACTGCAAGACTTCTTGACCTTGAGACCTCAGACTATATAAGTGGCATCAAATGGTGGTGCCCAGGCCAACATCCTCCCTTCAAACGAAGATCATTACTAGAAAGAAACAGGAGGAGGTGGCCATATTCCAACAAACACATGTATCCCATTTCACCAGGATGATTAAGGCACGCTTCAGTGGCCTCTAAAAACCATCTGCCAGATTCAGGGACTTGTTTGGTTTTGTTTTTTGTTTTATTTTTGTTTTTTTAATATGTTTTCTTCAATGGGATAGACATTATAGTTTCCTGTTTTCTTTCTAATCCAGGCTGAAGGCAGGGAATGTAACTGAAATTTGTTGGGGATTTTTTTTTTTTAATTCAGTACTAGCTTGTATGTTTTCTTTCTGTGTTTCTCTGAGTCATTTTGTATTAAAATCCAAATAGATGCCTTTTTCAAGAGCTTGTGGATTGGATTTATTGGTGTCTTTTTTTTTTTAGGCTTAGTCACCATAAATCTGAACAGTATATGATTATAAGTAAACATAGTATATGAACAGTATATGAGATAAAATCCATTTAAACTCAGAAGCTATTTACTGGGTTGTCTAGGAGTATTTGATTCCTTCCCCCCTTTTCTGTGTTTTTAGATCTACTCCCATGAAAATGAAAAACCTAAGAATTTTTCAGTGACAAATTGTTTTCTGTTGGAAGTATAGCAATTACAGGTGATAATGAACATGTAAAAGAACCTGGTTCTTACTATATACAGTCTTCAATGAACAGAATCTGTCTTTACTCTGCTTTCTGCCAAAAGCTATTTTCTGAGAAGAGTCTCTACACTCAGGGTACCTAAAGGGGCGGTTTGGGGGTAGTCTCTTCAGCTAGTAGAAATGACTATAACTGAAAAGTTGCATCAAACTCAAAGGAATTTGAGGAAGTTTGGTGGAGCAGGCCCATGATAGCATCTGAGAAATAGAATTCTGCTTTGCTTGTCTGTCTTTTCCTGAACTGATGGGGTCATTAAGAAATGTCATTAGTTGCCTTCCATCCTCAAGACAGGTTCCCATCTTCTTGGATCACTGGGTGACTGCAGTTGACTGATTCCAGCACACAAACCAGTGCTGATGAATTCCATCTGGCACTGGGGAGTGCAAGTGTATCTTTTCTCTCCTGTCTCAACACAGAAGTCTTTATTTTTTACTTTTATTTTTTTTTCAAAGATTTATTTTTATTTATTTATACAAGCACTGGATACAGTCAGAAGCACGGGAAGGTGAGAGAATTCACCAGAGCCAGAGCCGGGAGCAGAGCAGGCAGAAGGACCGAAGCACACTGCTGAGGGGAGCAGCGGGTGGAAGGAGAGGTCTGCACGCCATGTGGGACCCTCCTCCGGGGCCGGGGAGCAGCTGGGGATCAAACTGGCGCTGCAGAGGCTGCGGGCAGCTTTGCAACCCAGCGCTCAACCACTGCACCACCAGGAAGGCCCCACAGAAGTCTTTATATAGGTCTTCACACTTCCAACCTGTTCTGAAATCTGTTTGATTTTATACTTTTCGCTCATAAATCTGAATCATTTATCTTAAATTACAAGAGAGATAAGCTTTAAGTAAGTACTTGTTCAAGTATATCTAACTCATTAATGAAGGAGCCAGTAGGGTGGTAAAGTTGGCAACCAATTACTTTTAACACAGTGAATTAACTTTGAATAAATGCACTGAAAGCAGAAAACAGTTTGTTGTGCCTGGGAGAGCTACATAAATTTCATAGATTACACAATTCTGCTTAGATTAGGATTTGGAGAATGAGTGGGGATTTGTCAGCTAGACAAAGAACCATGTGCATTCCAAGAAATAACAGGCACAAGCTTGAAAGCCTGGTGTGTTTTTCCTGAACCAAAAACCAGCATGGTTAGGAGTAGGGAGTGGCAGAAAGTAAAGTTAGAGAATTAAAGTAGGAGCCAAATCCTGGAGGACTTGTACTTTCTGTACTTGATTCTATAAGTTGAGATTTCCTAAATTGTATTTCACAGAACACTATTTTCCAGGTATGTTAGATACATTGAGGCCTAAAGATCTCATACTTAAGTTTGGTAAAGACCGAGTTAAATAAAGTGAAACTGATTTCTTTATTGCAGGACTGCTACACAGTCTTCAGAGTATAGCGAAATCTTCAGGGGGAGTGTTGACTCAAATTTTCAGCCTGAACAATAATTACATAGTTATGTCTTTAATCAGAAGAGGTTTGGCCAAAGATGACATGCAAGCTGCTCTTCCCACTTCCAGCACTGTCACAGGTAACTCCCAAATCCCTTTCAAACATCAGGTCTGCATACCTCAGAATTAGTCCATTCCCCTCCACTTACCCTCATCTTTCTTGGCTCTGGATTAAACAAGTCTTGAGCCTTAACACTGCACTTTTAAAAAGCCCACCAATCCCTTGAGAAGTTTGAAAAGTGATGATTGGTGAGAACTGGAGACTCCAAGGGCTTTCCTCTACCTTCAGCCTCTTGCTCTTTCCAAGTGCCTTCTTCAAAGACTAGGTAAAGCCATTAGCAGGAAATAGCACCTCCACCACTTCGAATTTGAAGGGAATAGAGGCCCTAGCCTGGGGAATAAAGATTTGAGTACAAAATATCCCCAGAGGTTGCAAATTGTATTCTCACTTTGGGAGAGACAGATTGCTCCCGAATGAGCAATGGCATCTCTGGTTTTCAGTTAATTTCCCTTTATGACTTCCACAGTTTCAAGCACTTAATAGTGCTGGCACTTAAGGAGCAAAATCTCTTTTTGCTGGGGGGGTATGGGCGAGGGTTAGTTTTGTGGGCTGAATTGTCAGGAGTGGATTAGAATAGGTTAGGGCTTTTGCAGGTGGCTTCTTCACAACTAGAGTTACTTCATAAGAGTCTGTTGCATGTTGCTATCTCAAGGTGTGTGGACGGGATGTGGGTAAGAGCTCAACTTTGCAATTGAGAAGTTGATCCTCAGGGAAAAGTTGTCAGGCCAGCTGAGTTAGGATAGGGTTATTCCTTCTAGGAGACATTAAGGCTTGACCAAGCCTCATATCCTAGACAAAGGGAGGAGCCTGACAAAAGTCTGACCCTATTATTGTGGGATCACATGAAGCCAAGTGTGAGCTCTGTGCCTGCCCTCTGGTTTCTGGCATACCCCAGAAGCATGAAGATCCTTCTCTGAGAAAGATCCTTCCCTGGGTGGGTGTCACCCTCAACATCAAGCCCTGAGCTGTGCTAACTAGTCCCTTCTAGGCTTTAACTTCTGTCTTCTACAGACCATCTAGACTCCTAGATTCTTCAACTTAAATTCTCTAGAGCAGTAGCTTTCAATTGTGGACAGTCTTGCTGCCCAAAGAACGTTTGGCAGTGTAATTTTTTATTGTCACAGCTAGAGAAATGCTACCCATGTCTAGTGGGTAGAGGCTGAGATGTTCAAAGAATCCGATGCTCAAAAATGCCATTAGTCATGACATTGAGAAACTCTGCTTTAAAGCAGTAATCCTCTCTGTGATCCTTGAATAGCAGCATCAGCATTACTTAAGAACGCACTAGAAATGCAAAATTCTAGAACCCCACCTGAGACCTACTGAGCTTTAGGGGAAGGTGTTCAGCACTATTTTAACACATCCTCCCGGTGATTTGGATGCAAGTTTGAGAACTACTGCCCCAGAGAGTCAAAAAGCATTCATCTTAGGAGAGCCACAGAGGCTTCTGTTTACTCATCAATAGTTCCTTAACTAGCTGTTCTTTTTGGCTTAGTGCTGTTGTCTGCATTATCTCATTTGCTTGTCATATATGGTGCAACAGGTTCAAAGAGGAGAGGTAACACCCAAGATCAACCAGCTAGTAAGTAGCAAAGCCAGGATGTAACCCTGCTAGAGCTCATAGCCCATCACCACAATGTAAGTCTTAGTGGCTTTTAACCTTGAATGCGCATTAGCACCACCCAGGGAGACTTTAAAACTCCAGATGCTTATGGCATACCCCAGATCAATTAAATCTGAATCTCTGGGGTGAGCAACAGTAGTTTTAAAAACTTTCTTAGGTAATTGCAATATGCAATCAAGGTTGAAAACCTTGGCTATAACTGTGGCCAGGAAGGCAGCATAAAGCCAGGTCTACTTGTCCTGCCACCCCTACATTCTCAAAGAAAGCACTGCTCTGACATGTGCCCTGTGTGAGCTTAAAAACACTTCTCCCAAAGTCCAGCTCCTGAAACTTTGAACCTGACTCACTGTGGTTATTCTCTTTACCTTGTGGGACTGTGGGGCTTTGTGTAGAAAAAGCTCTCTGACCTTCCCTCAGGGCCTCAGTCCTACCTCTAAAGGTGCTAGAGCTGGAGAGGACCTTACAGATACTAAGGCTGACCCAGCCCAACCCCTGCAGAGGGGAAGCTGAAAAGAGATTTTCCAGGGTCACATGCATATTAAGTTGGTGGTTTTGTTCACTATTCAATACCCCTGTGCTGAACTCTCAGAATACAGAAATGACTGAGTTATAGCCTTTTTGGGGGCCCACCCAGCAGAATGTTGGAGAAACAAAAGCAGGACTTCTCAGTCTTTCTCCTAAGTGTCCTTAAAAGTAGAGGAGAATGAACTGGCAGAATGAGAAACGCTTAAAATGAACCATTTTGAAAACTTAACCTTGCATCTATAAAATGTATGATTCCTTCCCCTCAAGTTTTTATTTTGAAAAGTTTCAAACAAAAATTGAAATATTAATATCATGAGCTTCTATATGTGTTCCACCTAGATTCTATAATTCTATAATCTCACACAAACATAAATACAACTTTTAATGACTAATGAAAGTAAGAAGGGACATACCATAGTTTTTTACTCCCAGTTCCTAAATCCTCCAGGAGACCTCTCCTAAGAACATTCTCTATAAACATAGTACCATCTAATGATCATATTAAAATTTCCTCAGTATCAAAAACATTTTCTCTAGCTTTTTTTAATCCAGCATCAATCAAGTTTCATGCATTTGGCTGTTCTGTTTCTCTTGTGTCTCAACCTAAGGAGCCTCCTACCTTTTTTTCTCTCAGCGAAATTGCAGTTTGTGCCTTGGCATGTTGCTTCATAAGATAGCTGTGCTAGTTCTACATTAATAAATGTTTGAAGTGACTGAGCACCAAGTAAAATTGACACTCCGTGGAGGTCTACCATATTTATCATGTGCTTTGTGTATTCTCAACTACCTGTTTCAGAAACAGAAATTGCAAGTCAAATACAATCTAATACATACTGTCAGGTATACCCACAACTAGGAGTGTCTAAGGAGGAGTTAGAGAAAATTTTACTGAGGAAATGACACTTAAAGTGAGTCTTAAAGGACGACTGGAAATTGGGCAGAAGAATTCAACAGTTGTTGGGGTTTTTGGTTTGTTTTTTTAACAATGAGATCCAGAGCAGTTTCTGAGTTGGTATACCCCAACTGCACAGGGAAAGAAGTTCCTACTCTTCCAGAGTTCAGCCTGCGTGCCTCTTCATCTGAGTGTTCATTCCTATCTTTTATATTAATCCAGTGGAGGTGCATAAAGGATCCTTCAAAGTTCTGTGAACTGTTCACAAGCAACCCCTTATTTATGCCAGGTTGGTCAGAAGTAGGGGTGGCTGGATATCTGAAGTGAAGGCAGTTCTGTGATAATTGAACCCTTAAGCTGTGTCAGAATTGAATCAAATTATTGGACAAGTAGCTGATACAGGAGAATTGGTGGGTGTCAGAAGGCACCCCAGAAATAGTGAGCAAGTCAACCCTCTAACTCAAAGAATTTGACATTTTAGCTATCTTATGAGTAAGCTTTCTCAGAAGCTTCGGTGTTTTAAAGATTCAGACCTCGTAAATGGCCTTAGTTTCAGACAAGGGAGGAAGGAAGGTCCCAACCCCATAAATTTCACTTCAGTAGCTCCTACAAAATCTTTCTCTGGGGCTGACCATGACTTTGCTGCTCACTCAGGAAGCATGGTATGTGCTGAATCATCTCTCATTTATTTCTAAATCCTGCTTCATTTTCCCCAGTCTTAACCTAGTCCAGCAATTAGTCATCCCTCATGTTAACTACCGTGAGCCCCTCCTGTTCACCCTTATCAGGTCTGCCAAAGATGTTTCTGTCTTTGTTCTGCATTCAAATTACCTTCCCCCTTAAGACTCTGAGCTTCAGGTGGTAAAGAAGGCCTACGTACGCTGGGGCCCAGGCCAAGATGAGTTTTTATTCACCACACATCTGCTGAATCCTGACATGATCCAAGTCTTATGGGATATGGAGTAATTTATGACATGGTCACTGTCCTCATAGAGCTTCACCATCTACTTGAGGCAACACAAAATCAGAGAAGTGTAGTAAATCCCAATGAAAACGCTAATGGAGGTGGCACAGACCTTAAAGCCCAAAGGAAGGCTAACTCCTCCAGGTCACAGAGTGTTGAGGAAGGTCCCAGGAGGAAGTGACAGCTAAGCTGAGATTTGCAATATGAATAGGAGATCTCCAGACTAAGAATTTGGATGGGGACATGCATTCTAGAAAGGCAGAAAGAACAGCATGTGCAAAGCATGACAATGAGAGATGACCTGGTGTGCCTGTGTATTATCAGGGCAAGGCTTAGACTAAGAGGAAGGCCTCAGGGGCTAGGATTAGTTCTGCTGAGGTCAGACAGGCCATCTCTGGTCCCACAGGATAGACTTAAGAGTGAGTCAATCACATCATGGGACAGGGTGTGACAAGCATGGATATGATACGGCCAACAGCCTGGCAAGGCCTAGTCAGAGCCCCATGGAATCCACTGCTATTATAAGGATTAAATGAGATAATGTATGTCAAGTGGCTAGCTCACAGTAAGAGCTCCATAAATGGTAGCTGTTACTGTTATTATTCAATTGCATTGCTAGCATCATAGAGGGAACCGGCTCTCTCTGGACAAGGCCCTCAGGAGGATCTGTTCAAGAACTATTAACATCTGGGCTAAACCTTTGCAGGACTGGTTCTAATTCTTTTGTGGGAAATGGACTCTGGAGAATGTGAAATGAAAGCTGTGGACCCTCCCCAGGAAAAGGCACATCTGCTCCCATGAAGCTTTGCATATTATTTTAGAGACTTCACAGACTCCTAGAAGCCTGTCTAGTCATGGAACCTGGTTGGGCACAGCTGTTACTCACCGAGCATAGCTGAGGAAAGTTCCACTGTTATCTCAGTTTATTACTACAAGTGAAACCTCAGCAGTGTACTATCAACTCTAGGAATATCCTGTGTGTTTTAAAATACCAACTGGCATAGTGAGGAGTGA